AAGTATCGACAATGTCCACCGATTATTGTACATGTTACAAGAGTTTGTATGCTCCAATAAACATTGTTGAAGAATTATAATAACTCTATCTTAATTATAATAAATCTAACATCATCCCTGTGAGATGGAAAAATAACGGAATTAAGCTAAGAATTCTTCAATTTCCCATAACTTCTAAAACTTCTTCGACCAGACGAAATTCTTTTATTCATGGATTAATACGGCGATTGGAGTTCTTGACGTCTTGACTCATTGTTCATTTTTTTACCGACCGTTTTGTTCTCCCCGGCTCGGTGCACGGTGCGACCCTTTGTAAAAGACCCTTTTAAATAACAGGACGCCCTTGGGAGCATTTTTTTGTACGCACTCCGATAAATACCTATAGGGCGAGGGAGGCTACCTGACTATGTCCCGGGGCTTAGGTCGAAAATACCAAGGGAAGTTCGAAACCCGGGACACCGGACACCTCAGACAGGACGTGCGGGAATGGAAAACCGATTTGCATTTTCAGCCCATGGGGTGAAATTTAAAACCAAAGACACGTCGAAACACTTATGGTAATTGTACGCTGAAAAAATTCAACATTACGACGAGCACTCGGAATAGTATGAAAACAAAGTAAAATTTAATTTTACGAAAAAACAATCCGTTCTTTTATTTGGTATTTGTGGTGATATTACATGGCAGAGTGAGGTGAAAAATAGGATGTGGATAGGGATAGGGATAAAAGAGGCGGCCACAATGCCTACTGCACCTCGACCTCGATCTATTGTGCTCTCCTGTTATTTATAACTCACTGGCCAGCTTCATGTTATTAATCAGCCTCCCCAGCTTTGCTATGGCTCCTTAGTGTGCAGGATCTTGCTTGTGGTTTTTCTTGTCCTAGTTGCAAGAACCTGCACTTACATAGACCTTCACAGAATCATAGAATGTGTTCTGCAGTCTTCTCCTCTTGCTGGGCAGTATCTGCACAGTTTTTCTTTTGTCTGTATGTATGTACTCCTATCTGGTGCATGTGCCTCCTTAAGTAGCAGTGCCCTGTCAGGAGTCAAAGATCCATTCTGTGTGATAATCAGTTCGGTATGAGCATGGGTGTTCATTCCACTCCACCTACTGTCTAAAAAGGCTGTGACTTGCACATGTCAGATGAAGCAAAGCATCCTCCACACACCATCCACAAACCAAACGGATACTGATCTGTGAAGAGAACACCCCCCCCCCATTGTTGAAGAGTTATGATGACTGTTTTAAAGCTCATCCTTACATTATGGACTGTTTGGAATTAACTATTTATCAAGGAAGCAGTTAAATGATAGTTTGATAGTGCAGTAAGAGCAATAAAAGATCATCTCTAGTTGTACATCGCAGTCGACCATTACCTTCTCTTCGATTGATATCTCTGGTGGCCCTATCAAACGTGAATAGTAAAGCACACCCAGGACTTGGGCTATGTAACAGATGCTAAATTCATCGTTGGCCAAAGCATTCCCAGACAAAATCTTCTCAACTTAAACCCATGCTTTTATGAAAAAATTTTAAAAAAATTTGTTTAATCAAAGAAATCAAATTGAAAAACCATTTAATTCACTTGACGTTGGCACTAGGAAGGATGAGATTGAAATGATTTTCTTTATTTTTAATCTAAAGATTGAAGGGTTAGTAAGACTATATAAAAATAAACAAGTTATCAATGTTATGTTCATGTTTTAAGTCAAATATTAATCTTTATGCTTAGTTATTAAGGCAAATAAGTTTGAAAACAACATTTTCTTTGGAAGAATATGGTTTTTTCATAATGGTCTTGAGGTAACTATCTTAAGGACAATAATATCAATTAATATGAGTTTTTCTTGCTCTGAACTTCTGAAAAAGTGGAATTATCCACCTTTTAATATTTTAAGTACAAGAATTTAGAATAAGAAGAAGAAATTATTGTGCTTACAATCTTATTAATAATATAATAATAATAGTTTATTAAATTTGTAAGCAATATTATAATAAAGTGAACATAAATATACTCAATAAAAAATAAACAGTAGGGCATGGATTCTCCGTCTGCCGGTAGGTGGTGAGAACATAATAATAATAGTAATAATGATAATCATAATAATAATAGTAGATAGGAGATCACCTGACTATAAAACGTGTAACAAACAAGAATTTCCGCTCCGGGAAAAAACTGAAGTTTTGAGGTATATTGGTTTAATAAGTGTATGACAGTGGTGTGTTGTGGAAGCTAGGACGTCCCTTTGTCAGCCCAGCGTTTTTTGAAGTGTTTTTTGGTGAGGTGAGTTCAACTGGATAAGTTTTTTGACGATTAGACAAGTCTGCTGGGTGCTAGTTTGTAGCTCGCATTCCCTATTGGGAAGTGTTGGGAAGTGTGGGGCCTGAATCTCTCTAGAAACCTGGTTTCAGGGTTGGGCAAGATTTATTTATTTAGTTTTTCTCTTTAGTATGAAAGAAATTAAGCCAGTTGTACATAAATGGCCAACTGAGGCACTTGAGAGAAAAAAACTTGTGATTGTCTCTTGATTGCAAATCATCAGCCAAATCCATAATAGGCTTTTAATAGGCAACAACCTTCCAACTTTTCCTCGATGTATGGGAAGTGTAGAATGTATCATTCTGACAGTAAAACATATTTTGGTCGACTGCCAAAATTTGCAACCCTTTAGGCAAAGGCTCAACCTTTCGAGTGATGTACAGGAGTTACTGGGTCCCCATTGTTCCTTTCAAAGAGCACTTTTCAGCTTTCTCAAATTTATTGGAATTTATAACGAGATTTAGGCCTTTTCCCAAATTGTTATACCATTGAATGTTTGCCTGCTAATGTTTGAATGAGAGTTGTGCATGCAAGATTTCTTTCTTTTTTCAGAAATTTTTGAGGCTGCTGGAGCGGAAAAATGAAATAGAAGAAAATACAAATTGCGGGGTAATAAACTGCAATGCCCAATATTCGCAATTTAAATAAGAAAGTTAGCTAAAAAAAAGTGTTATTATGATTTTGTTTCTTATGATAGCTATGTAGCATTAGTTTATCTATCATATTTGAATGGAAGAATAAAAGAATAAGGATGAGCCTATACTCATGCTGAAACTGTTGCTAGTCTGATTCCATTATTATTATTATTACTAGCCACACAACCCTATGGGAAATTCACTATTTTTCGTGGTCCGCTTGACCAATTAATAACATTCAATTAATTAAGGTTTTAAGTTGAGATAAAAAAGTCAGTGTCATGAGCGGGATTCGTACTCACGACCTTCGGCCTGATATGTCGCTACTCTACCACTTGAGCTATCATGACTTCGATCCCCTCGGGCACTAACTTCCCATCTCAACACCACCTTTTTGAATTTTGAAAAATGGCAAAAAGGAGAGAAAATTCAAAAAGGTGGGGTTGAGATGGGAAGTTAGTGCCCGAGGGGATTGAAGTCACGATAGCTCCAGTGGTAGGCGTATAAAGCTGAAGGTCGTGGGTTCGAATCCCGCTCGTGACACTGACTTTTTTATCTCAACTTAAAACCTATGGGAAATGTTTAAATTATGGAACAAAAATTCAAAATTCTAATAAAAAAACAGGAATAAATTTTATATGTAATTTAAAATGGGATTTTTGCATACATTTGGCGTTCCAAATTAAGAATTTTAAAAGGATAAATTAAAGCTTTGGATGGCAATAGGATAAATTAGTTTATGAGTTAATGTTTGGAGTCAGAGCTTTATAGCACTCAGAAAGGATAGCTACCCTAAGATAATAAAATATATAAATAACTAATTTTATACACTGCAAAATAATATAAACCTCTCTGATTATAAATTATTGTAAATTACAAAAGTACAAATTTCCTGAAATAACATAAATAATTAAATAAAAACTAATATCATGAATTAGTTAAATGCCATAAACCCTAGAAAAAATAGATTAAGTAAACAAAATAAGGATAAACAAGAATAAAAGTAATAAGGGAAATAAGTTTACACATAAAAATACAAAATAATAACTTTGAATAATAGATAGAGTAAAAACAATGTTATTCGTCAATACAATCTTTCCTATAAATCCAGGCTGCCTTGGTATATTCCACCAATGCAGCCCAATTAGATCCATCCAACAAACTTAAAAATTCCTTTCTTGTAAGTACACTGCACCCAAAGAATAATCTTCTATATCCAGAAAAAATAGGGCAAACTGCTATAAAATGGAAAAGTCCTCCCTGGCTTTCAGGATACAGATGGCATTCTTCTCGTTCAGAAGTGGAATTAGCCAACTTTTAATATTTTAAGTACAAGAATACGGAAGAAATTATTGCGCTCATTTTTTATTATATTCTCAAGAAAATTGATCTTTTTCTCGATATTTTTTTGTCATATAAAAGGAGAATTTTGAGCTTACTATAATATAAGAAAAAAATCAACAAAAATTAAGTTTTCATGGTGTTGTGATCTGGAAAAGAAGGATCTCTTGAAATTACAATCTTGAAAGTACAGTTATAACAACTAATTTGAGTTGTTCTTGTTTCGAGGGTCTGGAAAACTACCTACTTTTTTTGTACGTTCTTTAACGGTGGATAAAAATGGAGAGTTTTTTCGGTATTTTGTTTTGCTCAGGACCCTCGTTAGAATTGATGTTTAAATTAGTAGGTCAATGTTGAACACCTGGTTATAAATCTTCCATGTTCACCGAGGACTGCCTCTCCTCACTGTTCGCGTCAGATGAGATTCAGCATTTTGCCTCATATTCCCTGAAGATTTTATTTAATGATAACCGAACACAACAAAAATTAAAAATATTTGGTAGGAATGTTATAAATTCCTGTAGTGGCCATCAATCCGTAGATAGACCAGGATGGCTGAAAACAATCAAGGTACAAGAAAAATTTCCCATCATTGTGTAAAATATGTGAAATATTGATATTTCATGTCTTCTCATAAACATCAGGCTATAAATAAAACTGTTATATGATCCTATAATTATTAAATCACGTTGTCTTTAAAGGATATGGATGATGGATCAATATTAGGTACCCCTGGCTACATGGATCCGAGCAGTTTTACTTCAAAGGTACGTTCAAATCAATTAACCCAAAACTAACTCTTTAATGTGTTGTATCCAATTCGTTAATAATTTTTTTCAGTTTAAATTGTTTCTCTTCTTCATGTTGTAATATGTTTTTAAAAATTAAGATATTTACATTAATTTGGATGTTAATTAGGTCACGGTGAAGGCTTTGTATGACTACCAAGCCAGACTGAACGATGAACTATCGTTCTGTAAGCATGCTATTATAACAAATGTGACTAAACAAGAAGTCGGATGGTGGAAGGGTGATTACGGTGGGAAAAAACAGCATTGGTTCCCTTCAAACCACGTTGAAGAAATTGAACCACAGCAGGATAGAGACGATAGTGTAAGTTAAACAAAAAATTATCGTAACATTAGAAATGTATGGCTTTTTTTTATTTAAAAAAAATTAATTTCAATTTCTTTATTTACTTAGGAGGATTATAGAAGATTTTTCATCTTTTGTGCTTCATCCATTGTCAATGAAAGTTTCTAATGAATTTATTCTAATTCATTCTTCAAGTCTAATGTAATTTATTATATACTCCTGTAAACACTACATAATTTACAAGCATTTTGTCTTAAAACATAAACCAAGTACGGAACCATATCACATACATAGCGCACATAATTCATGTTTTGAGTAGTGTCACACAGTAGAAATGTTGAACTGATTAGAAATATCAGTTTTTAAAAATTATTTTTATAACAGTGTCAAACTTTTCCATGTCATGAATTACATTGTAATGAATTAATGACAGAATAAGTTTGACGATTTTTTCCTCTCGTATACTTTATTGTGATTCTGTGATTTCATCAGCAAATATGTTTACAAGTAAATATAATAATAAAGAAAATTGGAAGGAAAAATGCTGAAAAAAGCTGATATTGTCTGATCAATTTAATATTTTGGCACCTTTTTAAGTACTTTATAACTAGTCTTTTTATTTATTACAAAAGTGCATTTTTACATCTAAGCTTTCCACAAATTTTTATCTCATAAATACATGATATGTAATTAGATATATATTGTCATGTTTGCATGATTAGCCCATTCAAAAATATTTTTCTTTCTGTTGGATAAAGTGGCCTTGAAATGGCAGGAAAAGGTAGATTTACCGTACCAATAGATAAAAGAGGATTCTCCCCAGATTAAAATGGCTTTAGTTAGATTATGATTTTGCCTTTTTTTAACGAGGTGAAATGAATTTTACAACAGTTTTGTTTTATATTTATAATTTTTTTTTTGTATATTTGGTAGTTATTGTTTATAGGTAGGTATAATTTAGTCTTCCTTGACCCAATTGTGAAGTCTCTGAAGTAAAGAATCTACAGCTTGAGCATAACCATCGCTAATTTTTGATGGTTTTGGCTTTCAAGTGTGTATCCATTAAATGCAAAAAATTAGATGATAAAGCTGCACATTCATTATAAGTTTTGTTATAACTAGATCGCAGATTTACATGTAATAAAAATCCTCAAATATGCCCTATAATATTCACTAAAAAACACCTCAAATATTCCATATAATTTACTTTTAAAATATTAAAATTCGCAGGATGAATGTAGGAGGCACGTGTTCACTGGGTCTGTCTCTACACATTTTTTTTAATAAACTTTTTTGGGCTAATATATATTCATTGTGAAAGAAATAGAACAGAAATAATTTCATTCACACAAAAAATCTTAAATTTAAAATACAAAATAAATAGATAAGCTTAATTATGTTCATGATCTATTTTAAAATTGACAATAATATACATTTCAAAGTAAGTTTCTGTGTTAAAAAAAAAAAAAATCCAGTCTGCTATTTTAGTAGTTGAAGTACCCACTTTTGGCAGTTGTTTATGTTTACTAGGTTGAAAATATGAAAGAGGGAATACACTGACTATTTTTGTGTTTCAAATAAGTCCTCTTTCCCTGACCATTTACAAAAATAAATAAATAATTATTCAGGAAAGGCAAAAAACTGGCAGAAGTTTTGGAAACGGGACCTCAAATAAGATGTCAATTATTTCAAGAGAATTCTATTCTATGGTTTGTTAAAGTCTTAGTTATTTAAGTAATCAAAAAAATTTCAAATTTCTTCAAATATGCAAAATAAAATTTGAATCACCATACCACAGAGGTATGATACGCATCTGACCGCCATGATCATTAGTGTTAGCGAAAAGAATATACAATAGCATAAGAATCTGAGCTCTATTCATAACACAATTTCATTACATGGTACATAGATTAATATTTTTAAAAACATTTTTTATAGATTAAATTTAAATTCCTTTTAAATAAACATTAAATAGCATAAATTAACTAAAAAGATAAAAGCTTTACTAAGAATAAGTGAAAATAATAGTCCTAAGAAATTATGATTTTTTTTCTGTGTAATCAGAAAATTTGACATTTCAAAAATAAGTTGTTTTTAATCTTGGGATAAATCGATTGATTTGATTTCTTCCTTTAAAGTATTAATTTTTAAAAAATGTGTTTTTTTAGTCTTCAGATTCCATGCTTCTCGGGAACCTTCAAAAAGGAAGTCTCGACATAATGGGAGCAGTCGTCGAATTGGCTCCCGGCAATACGAGGGGTTTGGTGAACATCCTCAGGATTCAGAATCCCAATATGTGCACCGTATTTGAAGCCGGAGTAGAATCTCACGATCAAGCTTTGGAGTGGGTGAAGGCGATTAAAGACACTGCCCAGGATGCCAGTCTAAGAGTAAAATTTCTTGAATTTTCATTTTCAAAAAGAATTGTGATTTTTTTTTTTTAAATTTATTATTTCTCTTTTTAAGGATGTTAAACACAAAGAAATGGAGAAAAGCTGGAGAATAGCTAAGGAGATATCAACATTGATAGTATATTGCAGAAGCGTAGCCTTCAATATTGACAAAATAAAACAGAAAGGTTTCGTTTTCTCCGAAATGTCTTCTTTTCCAGAAACAAAAGCAGAAAAGTTGATTGTACAGCAAGAATGGGAATTCTTTCTAAAATACCACCAGGTAAATATTTTAATTAAAAAGAAATAGTCTGTTATTAAGTAAAACTGTTTTATTTTTATTTATGTTATAGCATCAATTTAGTCGAGTCTACCCTAGAGGTCAGCGTATTGATTCATCTAATTATAATCCGATGGGGCTTTGGAATGTTGGGTGCCAGATGGTAGCTCTCAATTATCAAACACCAGGTACTTTTTATGATCTTTATTTTGCATAGAAATCTTTCCAAATATGTGAGAAAATAATAAGAATTTTTACAGATAAACCCATGCAATTGAACCTAGCCAAATTCCGTCAGAACAGGGGTTGCGGCTATTTGTTGAAACCCAACTTTATGTTCAATCCTTTGTTTGACCCTCACAACAAGCAATCAGTGGCTGCACTGAAGAGTCCTGGGTTTCGGTTGGTTGTTACTTTAACTGTTATAGCGGCAAGACACTTGCTTAGAGCTGGACGAGGCATGGCAAGCCCGTTCGTCGTAGTCGAAGTTCTAGGTGCCGATTACGACACGGGTATAAAACTCACGACTAGGATAATTTGTACGTATTTTTATTCCAGAATGATTCATGGTATTTAACATATTTTATTACGTTTTTCAGCTGATAATGGACTGAATCCTGTTTGGAATGAATCGTGCGAATTTGAAGTAATAAACCCTCGCCTAGCCATGTTGAGATTTAGTGTCGAAGACGAGGACATGTTTGGTGACCCAAATTTTATTGGGCAGGCCACTTATCCAGTGAGTATTTTTATACCTTAATTTTTATTTATAAACAATGTAATAATTTTTTTTTTAAGTTTTGTGGCTTGCGCACTGGCTATAGGAGTGTACCGTTAAAAAATGGATACTCCGAGGATCATGAATTATCCACATTGTTGGTCCATATGAAATGGCATTTTCCACCTGTATGTTTGTCAAACTCTCTCTGAATCTATACACTATATCAAGAATTTTCTAACAATGTTGTTTTCAGTCACTTCCATCAAGCAGTAGTGCATCATCTCATTTATCAAAGTCTAGTGTGGAAACAGAGGCTACAGAATGTTAAAAGTATCCTCAATAAGACTGATTCCATGTTAAAATTCGTAAAACAGTCTCATTAGCCACTTTCCATCACATTCGTGCTTTGTTGACTTACGTTCCTCATACTTGCTTTGTCATACTCCAGGGCTTCCTTTAGATATTTGAACAACTTGGATGAACATGTTAAGTAACAATTTGAGAAACAGCTTTATATTTTATTTTAGATTATTTTGTCCAATTCCAGAAATAAAATGAATAATAAGATAAAGAGAAACCTATTTCTCATCAAGTTAGGCTTATCATTTACCCTCACTACAGACTAAATTTTCTTCATTCATTTTCAAAGAAGAAAAAAGACAAATACTTGCGTTTTTAATTGCTTCTTCTGCATGATGTACAATCTAGGAAGTAATCCTGTGAGGTTCATTTCTTCAGCAGTCGGTCAGATCATTGCATTTTGTTGCGATTTTTCTCAAATAGACACAAAAGTGATGATTTCACTGTATAGAGAGAGAGCAAAAATTTGTGGATGTTCATACTTTTTTTCTGTTTTGTCTATCATTCCAGCACTGTGGTGCATAATTTTTTCCTGAAAGTTTAATCTCCAAGTAGAAAACGACTTTCATCAGGTTTTTATTGTGCTTTTGACGATTGCTGTACAGGTTCAGTGATATCACTTAACATGTTCATCCATCTTTTCATTTATTTTTTTTAAAATATAAATTGACCTATTATTTAAAAAGATTATTAATTTTATATCAAGAGAATCAATTTCCTTCTTTCATATATTCGTTTATTCAAAGATCTATTTTCTTAATTGACAAATTGACTCTCTACCTCTTCTATAAAAATTCTATAAAAAACTAATGTGATACAAATTTTAAAGAATTTTCAAGTAATAATCAACTCTTTTTAACGTAAATTTAAGAATATTAGCAAACTTCTAAATCTCTACTTTGTCTGCTGAAATTTTCTAAGCATTTTAAACTAAAGATTGTTATTACATAAGTTTTTTTAAAAAATAAATTATATTTAATTTTGAATAAATATAGTTGGATTATAGATTTGTTAACTAAAGAGAAAATTGTAGATGTCCCCTAGTGCCTTAATAGTTGTTGGTTATTTTATTTTTAAAAAACATCTAGACTTTAGATAAATCAATTGTTTAGTGTTTACTGTTATTAAAACGCTACAGCAATAAAATTATACATATACACTTTGTGCTAATTTAGAAGCTTTAATCTTATAATTATGTCGAGTTTATTCTTTTGTGTTAATCATTGTAAGAAAATTTCTATTTTTGAAGGAGAACGTATTTCATTAAGAAAGAAAGAAAATTCCTCTTTAAACCCAGTCAATTTTTCTCATAATGTTTAATTAAAATTTTAAAATAAAATGTATTTATTTCAAACAAATTTTTATTTTATTTTATTCCTCTTCAAAAATGTTTATTCATCAATACACAGCATTATTACGGATTTGATCGCAGTATTCAGAGTACTGAACACGTAAGTTTTTTTTTTCTCTTTTGTATATTGCTGCTTCTGTGATAAATCCATATAGCAGGAGGCTCCCATCAGTTTTATTTAATTCTCTACTCTTTTTTTCTGTCTATACCCTGTCCATAGGGGCTTAATTATTTTATAAATTAAGTTTGGAACAACTCAAATCGATTGATTAGCTTAATTCTGAACTGTTGCCCAGTTTGCTTATTTTCATTTACATTTTTAACTTCTGAGCCACGCATATGTACATGACGAGCTGCAGTTTGCCAGCGCCTGATTTAGAATGTCCGACCAAACAATATAATTATATCAGATTGTAAAATAAGTCTTTTGATGGTAAATTCAATTAAAATGTCGGATACTTGTGAACAAATTTACGAGTGAGGGGAGGGTTCCAAACTTCTTCATCAGTTGCAAAATTTAAATTGTGTCTTCCTTCTTTATCTGCCTGAAATGCTTCGAATACCAGCTGGAATTAGAAACAGTTCAAAATGTCGAGCTATACGCTCAGTAATTGGAAACTTCTGTTATGACGTCTTCTGCACAAAGTATGGCATAATTGGGGGTTTTCTTTTGCCCGAAATTTCCCTGATCTTCCTCCATATATCTGAGGATTCCATACGTGGTGTTAAATTGGAAATTAAATATTTTAGAGAGTTTTGTTTGGCTTCCTTTATTACTCTTCTTTTTTTGGCTCTGGATTTTTTCCACTATTCGTTGCGATTTTGCTATTTTTGTAATAACATCCTACAACTCATGTTTATTCAAGATGAACGCATTGTGTTTTCTTCTGTCTTCATCAGGTTTGTCCCATTTAAAGTAGGCTGGAATAATTGACACTTTGAAGGGGCTGTCAGGTACTTTTTAACAATTGCTTGGTGGGTAAGAATAGATGAGTGTATTTTTAATACCAGCTGTTCACAAAAGATGGGGAGTGAGTGGTTATCGACCAAATTGACATAATTAATAAAATATAGAATGGTGTAGGGAAATGTTGGTAACAGAATCGGATGTCCGGAGATTGTGAGGATTCGGTCGAAAACGGTGCCTGTTAGGTGACGGTGCTGTGGGTGTGGCAATTTGTGGACAGTCACACATGGTCCTTAGAACAGTAAACAGGGTTGTCCTGGACCCAAGCTTCTAATTTTTTTTTTTTTTAATGCTAAGTTTTTAAGGCAGTAATTCAAAGTGTGCAAGTTAAAAAGTTTTAAACCTTATATTTCATAAAATCAATATTTTCGTGCTTGATAAAAATTAGAATAAAAGAATAAAATTTAAAAAAAATAAAAATATTTATTAATCTGATTATGACTTAAAACAATAGAGTCAATCAATTTTTTTCTTTCTTGTATCACCTCCTTTCTGTTCTTATCGTTTAAGGATACTTTCCTTACTTGTTAGTGCTTTTTGATCTTTTTCCTTAACATCTGGTTCAATTGTTTTTTATCAATGGACCACTTTTACTTTCTTGGTTTATACTTGTTTAAATGTCCAATTAGTTTTTACTGAAAATAAATGGATTGTAGGTAAAAAAATAAAATTTAAAAAAATCATATAATGACTTTTTTTACTAAGAAAATATCAATATAACATTGAATCAATGCCATGGAAAAAAGGTGAACTTTAAATACACAATACCATCACCTAAAGAATATGAAACGAGTACTATATCTCGCTTAAACCAGAAATTTATTTAAAATGTTATCAACATCAAATATATAAAAAATAATTCTCTTGACAAAAATAAATCTCTAATTTTTTTGACATATTACATTAAAAAGAAAAAAAAACTTTCCATAATGGTGTTAGTTGAAGTATTTGATTATTTTGCCAAACTTAAAGTAAAACTAATTAAAATTAGCAATGTGTTATTAATATTCAATTTAACTCATTACATATGTGGTTTTGGGCAGCGGTTGACTTTGCGCAAGCCATCAGCAAGCATCTCTCCAAATTCAGGATTAACTTGGCTGAAGTTCTTAACAGTTCTTTCCTGTAGAAGACAAACTCATAAATAATTTATAGTAGTTCAAAAAAGTTATAGCATTTATACCTGGATGAAGTCAGCAGCATCCTTCAAACTTCCAACTATGTTTGCTACAAGCCTCTTACGCTCTTCATTGCTAAGGGTCCTACGCCAGAATATGCCTGCTTGGGAGAAATTGTCCTCTTCTCCTGTTTCAACCCTTTAAAGTAAAAAAATACAATATAAAACTGTACAAAACGTCAACTAGCACAAACAATATACTTTTGGACATCTCCAGAAATAAAGAATTTGGAAATTGCGTGAACAGTACTGGACGACGGTCCTGAGAAACTGTTAGGGTGATAGTTCGGTGCACCGCCTTGGTTCTCGCCATATGCTGCAGGGCCATCCCTCTGAGAATTCGCAACTGTGGCCCTGTAAGGGCAATTGACCGGGAGTTGGAGATAGTTTGCTCCGAGTCTGTGACGATGGGTGTCACTGTATGAAAACAATCTTCCCTGGGATTGAAAAAAAAATAAATAAATAAATAAACCAAATACAGCAAAATGTTATTCAAAGATGTAAATAACTAACTTGTAACATTTTGTCTGGGCTTGGTTCTACACCAGGCAGCATATGGGCAGGGCTAAATGCGATCTGCTCGACCTCTGCGAAGTAATTCTTGGGATTGCGATCTAAAACCATTTTTCCAACTGGGATCAACGGAAATTCAGAATGTGGCCAAACCTGGAGAAATTCAAATTTAACCCTTCTGCCAGACGCTTTAAGAGAATATTCTTACCTTGGTTAAATCAAAAGGGTTAAATTTAACTTTTTCAGCCTGTTCGAAAGTCATTACTTGGAGATACCAGGTCCATGACGGGTACTCTTTGTTTGCAATAGCGTTATACAGATCTCTGATGCTGTAATCCGGATCAGATCCAGATAATTCTGCAGCTTTCTCTGAAGACAAGTTTTTGATCCCTTGATCAGTCTAAAAGCACAAACAAAGAAAGCAACCTCAGAGAATCATCAAAATAAATGATATTTATACTTTTTGCATTAAAAAAAAAAAAAATGTAAGCTATATTGTATACCTTGTAATGAAATTTGCAGTAAACGGCTTCATTTTTATCATTAACTAATTTAAATGTATGAGATCCGTATCCATTCATATGCCTGAAACCGTCTGGTGTTCCTCTGTCGGAAAACAAAAACATGACCTGATGAGTAGTCTCAGGCCTTAGAGAAATGAAGTCCCAGAACATATCAGCATCCTTAAAACAGAATGTTTTATGATATACTTAATGATACTTTATTTTATTTATTTATTTTTACCTTGAGATGTGTCACTGGGTTTCTTTTCTGCGTATGAATAAAACTTGGAAAAAGAATCGGGTCACGAATGAAAAATATGGGCGTGTTGTTTCCGACAACATCCCAGTTTCCATCTTCGGCGTAGAATTTTACAGCGAAACCACGTGGATCTCTGAAAACAAAAGAAGTAAATAATAATAATAATGCCTTACTGTGATAACTGGAATATTTCCGTCAATCTAGTAAGTTGAAAATATGATCTGAAAGTAGGCTTACTGCAAGAAAACCATGGTTCCTTCAAGTATTCTACCTTTGAAATTTTTAATGAATATAATTATTCAGGCTTAATTTTCACCCCAAAATTTTCCCTCAAACTCAAGATCCTCACGGCAAAATATGCTTCTACTAAACTCATCCCTAATACTCTCATCATCCCAGGTAGCATTACGTTACTTTGGGAATGAATTCCATGATCTGCCGCATCATTCCTCATGACTTATCATCTAAGCAGTTCACTTTTCAGAAAACCCGTAGTGAATTGTTATTTTGAGGATGGATTCCATGATCTGCCACATCATTCCTCATGACTTATCATCTAAGCAATTCACTCTTCAGAAAACCCGTAGTGAATCGTTACTTTGAGGATGGATTCCATGATCTGCAGCATCATTCCTCATGAGCTATCATCTCAGCAGTTCACTCTTCAGAAAACCCGTAGTGAATCGTTACTTTGAGGATGGATTACATGATCTGCAGCATCATTCCTCATGAGCTATCATCTCAGCAGTTCACTCTTCAGAAAACCCGTAGTGAATCGTTACTTTGAGGATGGATTACATGATCTGCAGCATCATTCCTCATGAGCTATCATCTCAGCAGTTCACTCTTCAGAAAACCCATAGTGAATCGTTACTTTGGGGATGGATTCAATGATCTGCAGCATCATTCTTCATGACTTATCATCTAAGCAGTCCACTCTTTTGAGAACACCTTGTGAATTGTTATTTTTAGTTACCAAAAAAAAGTTCAAAATTCTTCCAGATTCTTAGGCCTCTTTAAGATGACTAGTTGAACGGGTGTCAAGGAGTGTAACGTGTAGCAAAATGCATGAGAATCGCAACAATCCTTTCACACGCAGTCAACTTGTCCACCCAAGTGGGCGGTCAGTAGGCACAAGTGCTACTCCCGTTCTCATCCCCACTGGGATGACTCAACTCAAAAGACACTGCTCGCCATTCGTCCTTCACACCAGTCGCCTAGTTGAGTCAACTGAGATCACCATGGAAAGTGTTGCAATTGGTAAGTTTCAATGTGGAGCAGTTCATTGAAGATATTCGTATTAGTCCTGTGATGTAGGACTTGAGGTGTAAGGAGTACCGTGATAAAATTAAAAGAAGCAAAGCTTGGAGGGAAGTAGCACAACAATATTTGAGAGAAAGCGCCCGTTTTCTAATTTTATAACAAAGGATAAACCCACAATTCTATTTAGTGGGTTTCCTCGTTTTTTGCTTCTCTTTTTGCAGAAGAGCAAGCACAAGAAATGCTCCTGCTTCCTCGGGTTCTAACATTGTACTGACCTCCCGATGGGAAGAGAGGTTGATTCCACAAGTTGCCCGGTGTGAAACCAAGTCTTCACACGGCAGTAAACTAGTTGAGAGTCAACCTGGCAACTTAGTTGAATGAACCAAACCGCCTCGTCTGAAAGAGGCCTTACTCTCATAAATCTGAGAATACTCAAAATTAGTCCATTTTTTTAAAAGTTAGATATGAGTTGCTTTTCCTTAATTTTAACCCAAGGAATAACAGTTCCAAGCACATGCTTCAGATGGGCTAGAGTAAGCTTTTTTGACTGTATGTCCAATTTTAACGGAACTCAAAGTATTTAGACTCACCTTCAATAGCAAAAGATTACCTAATTTTCTCTTTAAATAGAAATAATCCCAAAACCTATTGCCAGTGCTTCAGGAGCGTGTTTTATTTTATTTTTTTATTGATTATTTACTTCATTCATTCAAGACGACTTTAGTAAAGAAAATTTTATTTAAAACTTAAATGTTTAAATTCAAATACGAGTTGAACGACACCGTTAAGCAATCGTCTTTTCCATCCCTAATTACATAAAAGTCAACTGTCATATTGGGCCAAGCCTTCAATTGAGGACTTATGCAACGCTAAGCTGTTTCGCAAGTTTTAATAGGGGGATTTGCTTGTTTGCGAGAAATAAGACCCGGTCCAAGGTCTGGGCTTTGTAAACTAAGTACATTATTATTTCTACTAAAAAAAAAATCTTCGTCCTTGGCCCTGTATATATTGTCAAGCTATCGATTTTCATTCAGCTCGTAAATCATTCATTACAATGGCCTGATAGTTGAATTTTTGAAAGATTAATACGATTATATTTGAATACAATAAATCAAAGGGTTCCAGTCACCGCCGCTTACCTTGCAGTATCTGCAGAACCGCTTTCCCCTCCGACAGTCGAAAATCGGACCGCCACCGGCGTCTTTTTTCCGACTTTTGAAAATACGGAGAGCTTCGTGTATTTCCTCACATCGTTGGTGCATTCGAAGTAACCGAAAGCTCCTGTAACAAAAAGGCGAAAGATTAATTATTGAAAGACACCGGGGTTAATTGGGAAAGAATTTAATAAAGAATGAGCTGCGTCATTCAAAGAACAATGGCGTGTTTTCTCTACCATTCTTGTTTAATGGCATTTTGATATCAATCATAGCATTTTAATAACGAATGTATAAGAATGTTAAAGTTTTGACCAAAATTAAAAGAAGTATTTTACAAAGAGCTTTTTAATGTGTTATATACAAAGATATACTTGCACTTTGTTAGGCCATGGTGGACCAGGAAGATTTTTAGTTGAAATTATGTATTACGCTCAGGCTGACGTACTAATGATACAATAAAAAAATAATTTAAAAAATGAATTAAAAATTAGTCTTGGAAGGGAACGAAAATTTACAGTCAAGCTTTCTATTTATATTTGGCAATGCGCCGAGTGCTGAGGATCAACTCATTATTACGCGCCATCTTGCATCTTGCACTTTAATTACATGGGACTTCGTCACTTATTTATAAAAATTCATCTAACTTCGTAAGACCTATCCGTATGACCCAAAAAGTATCTTATCTATCTTAAATAATCAGAATATCATCCACGGCCACCATTTTGTTATCCATCGTCATCCACAAAACAACAATGTCATCTCTTCTCTTTAAATGAAACAATTAGTATTTCTCCAGGTTGACAAGGCCGTCGATCGCGTCTGGCACCTTGGCTTGCCATTGCTAAAAAACAGCTTTCCTTTCCCCGAATATACACAGCGGTTGTAGGACCAATGATAGATCGGTGGTTTGGTGGACGAAGATGTTACAGCCGAGCGGTCAGGTTTCTCAGTACTGCTCAAAGACAAGCCCGATCAATGAAAACTATCTCCTCTGTTGCCCTGAAAGTCCTCCTGAATCCCACTATATATCATCATTCAGGAAGAGAAGACAAGAGCCAAAATTCATAGGCTAATGCAGACACATGTTCCAATAGCTTACTCGCAAAACAAGTAACAAAAGCTTTGGGAGAAACTGCAAGCAGACAAGTTTCGAGGGATGCCTGGGATAACCCGATAGACTGGAAGTGAATGGCTTTGTGAATGAGGACTTTGTAAGGTTTTTTTTAAAAAAAAAGCCATACCTGCACAATCCAAGGAGAGGTCTAAGAAATGCGAATATTTGTGGATTCCTTATCTGTCATCTTTATGAGGCATTCGAAAACAATCCTTGTAAGGATTCGATTGAAATATTTAGAGGAATTTTTAGTTTCTTGTTTAAGGAGTTAGAGGATATGTCCTAAGCAAACTTTTTTCCTTTGTTAAGTTTCTTGGATAGTTTGGTCTGTTTGGCAGTTTGCAATTGGAGAGGTCAACAGACTGAAGATATTGACATACCGAAACGCTGATTAACAAATCCAGCCTGGACAGCTATGATCCAAGATCGGAAACAACGGACCAGATTTTCCAACTTCATGGTACAACTTAGCGTGTTGCCCCACAATTACGCCATAAATATAGTATTAGACCTTCAGATAATCCTTTATAGTTATTAAAAATTCTGATGCCTATAGAAATCTTTCAGCAGAACAGAAGCTTGAGCCAAAAAGACTAACAGTTACAGAATAGAGAACCTAATGGCTTCTTGTGCAGGTTCTAGTTTTAAAATGGTCATAACTGCACAATGCGAGGAGAGAAAATCTAAGAAATTCGTGGATTTGCGAATTTGTGTTCATTTATAGCTTTTGAAAGCAAAATTATTCTATTTATTGTTAAGGTTCGACACCCTGACTAGTTTGGATCGTGTGTTATTTTGTCAGTCTGTTAAATGTAGATGGGTCAACAGACTGAAGATAGTGAAATATCGAAACGTGTCTGAAAAACAAATCCAGCCAAAGTAGGCATCCACGATCTCAAACGACGGATCTGCAGGTTTTTCCAAAAATATCGAGGATAAATACAGTAATAACACACTTGAGGCGGTTCTTAACAAACGATAACTTTCCTGTCTGTTCTCCATAAAAATGCTGATACACACAAATCTTTTAAAAGAACAGAACCATAAATTCAAGTATGTTCATTTATTCATTATTCAGATTAATGTGTGTTTCTTAGTGACCTGTTGTTTCATAATTTGTTGAAGTCATGAGGAACGGTTCAGGATTGGGTTGTTTAAAAAAACCCCTTTTTCATTTTTTTGCCGACGTTTCAACCTTTATTCCGGCCATCTTCAGGGCCTGGATAAATTATAAAACATATGTTGATTGGAGGGGGTAAGAAAAGCAATTTAAGAATAACGAAGGAAAGGGAAATATAAAATTATCTCAACCAAAGCCTTAATTAATTGAAAAAAATTAAGGTTTACTAGTTTATTTACTTATGATGTTGGCTTAGCAACGGCTGAGAGTTTTCATGTATCTGTTCTGTAATCGATGCTGTGTGTTTGTGTTAACGTAAACCATTTGTACAAAGTTGCGTTTGTATGTTTTTTTCAGTGTTTAGTATTTGTATTTTCTCGCAATCAAAGTTGTGTTTTTCTTTTTTCAAAATGGTGTGTGGCCAATGCTGTAGGATTGGTTTTTGGTGTTTTACAATCATAGATGTGTTTTTTCCGTTTTTCTACATATTGTGATTTAATTCCATGTATGTTGCTCGTCAGTTCGTACAATTAATTTTATAAATTACATCTGATTTGTAGGCTGTTGGTGTTGGGTCTTTGACTTTGGTGTGCACTTTTAAAAATGTGTTCTGAGAAGAGAAATTTACTTAATTTGTGTGACAATATGTGGATGAATGGAATTGACATGTATATTGGTTTGCCTTTGTATGATTGTGTTGATGTTGTGTACTGTGGAGGATGTTATTTTGTGTAGTGCTGGGTTATAATTGTTTATGATTCATATTCACACTTTCACACCACCAATATGACACCACACTTCATATATTTGGTTCAAAATATACATTTAGATTTTAAATTGTATTTTTTCCAATCAATACATGTTTGGTAATTTACCCAGGCACTGAAGATGACCGGAATAAAGGTCGAAACGTCGGCAAAAAAATGAAGAAGGTGTTTGTCTTAACTAACTCATTCTTGACCGCTCCTCACGACTTCAACATGTTCAGATTAATGTTCACAATAAATAGAACTTCAAATAAGAAAATGGTTACCAAGTATGTATGATTTATTTGTAAGTGCGTTTTTTAAAGTTTATTTTCAAAGTAGCGTTCATTGTTCTAAATTTAATATTGTTATTGTCACATACACCAATTATGTTTATTATTTTGATACATAACTGTCGTGCATAAACTATAATAAATAAATAGTAAAAAACTGAACTTTATACGAGAAAGATTGACGCAGCCAGTCGCCATAATGATAAATAGTATAGAATGCAATGTCATGGCCTTGTTCGACCAGTAGAATCGGTTTCAAGCATGTAAAACGTTCTGGGTGATAAACAAAGGGGGGGAAAATAAATCAAACGTTTTTAATCTTCCACTACAGAAATATAAATAGAGCACGCAGACAAAAAAATTATCTTTTTGTCGATAACAACTGTTGAACCTTTTTCTTCTTTTCGTACTTTCCAAGACCAATTTTCAAACGTTTATAGGATGTTTATGAAGATGACGCACAATGATTACAACTGTCACGAACTTAATAAACGTTCATTGTTTGCAAATCACTTTCGCCTTTAAGAGAAAATGGAAATATTATGGGAATTTTCTTTTTAAAAAATAAATTTTTTTATAAGTCTCGTATTGTGAAATTTTCCTGAGTTGACCTGGGAATTGGGTCATGTCAGCGTTTTGACCATTATCGATGAATACATAACAAGAACATCAGCTTGCGTATAATTTTTCAAAAGTATTGTTTTCAATTTGAGTTTTGAGACTTTATACATATCTACTACTTGATTTCATGAAGCAGATTTGTTAAATAAGCCCCCCGAGCTTCTGATTTTTCGGAAAAGTGACTTCAAACCAACACTTATTTTCATACTCTCAGAGGGTTTGAAAATTTTTGGCAATGTAAACTGCCATTTTGGACGAGAGTTGTTTCGATATTGAACGAACTTTAGCTGTTTTTTATTTCGTGGTCCTAATTGAACTCGGGCAGTGAAAGGGACTTGGTGAAAGCCCATGCCAAATATTCACACGGTGATGTGAAACTCTTAACAAGGATGTTTTTAAAATAAAAATTATAAGAGATTGTTCTTAATCCTGAATTTTAAATGAACCGGATAAACAGATCTACTTTTTTGAAAAATAAGCGATAAGAGGTTTAACAACATGTATAAAAGGACTGAATGAATCAAATAGAACTTGAATTAATGAACAGAAATCGTTATAAGCCCGGTAAAACACAACCTCGCCTAATATGGTTAAAATATAACAATATAACAAATTAAATCAAGAATTTTAAGTTTCAAGCCTTAGTTAAGCAAGAATAGAACTGTCTTAAAAAAATGGCCGGTACGATGCCTGAAATATACCGATGTAATTTCTGAAAAAATAATGACAATTTAAAAAAATAATTCATCTACGTCTTGAATGGTCGGATTGCGCAAAAATTTCTTTTAGTAACCTGATTTTACCTTGGTGCTCCAAGGAATATAAATTTTGAGTTTTCTCCCTTCGGATTGTGCCTTTTTCATCAATTATCCCAAATAATCGTAGGGTAATTTTATTATAAAAATGGCTCGTCTCGTTTCGCCATTTTCTACCGGTCTGCGAAGGAAGCGGCTAAGTTCTGTTGACCGCTTTCAAAGCTTTCTTTCTCAACTATTGCGTAACTCGTTTATCCCAGCAACACGCCATCAAACAAAGGCGATTAATGGTCACATTATCTGTCCTTTGATGCCGATTAGTTGCATAAGCAATGACAGTTATGGTTTGAGATAGTTTTAGGTCAGGCATTTAGTTGCGTTAATCCTGCTTTGAAACTATTTCTCCAATTTTCCAAGCTTGGCTTATAATTTTCTTACTGGGTTGGAACAAATATTGAGGGTTTTTTCCTTTGTTGATTTTTGCCCAATCCATCTTTAGTATTACAATGACTAAGCCTCGACATTTTGCAGATTTAAAAAATTAAAGGCGCCGCAAAAGGCGATATATGTGAAGAAAAACGTGACGATGTTCTTCTGACAACCCCTTGTGAATCGTTACTTTTCGACTGGATTCCGTGAGCTGCAGAATTACAAGCACTTCACACTTCTGAAAGCCCATTGAGGATCGTCACTTTTGGAGTGAACTCAATGAGCAATTGTGAAAACCCACTGTGAATCACTCTTTTCGGTTGGATTTCAGCAACTGCAGAATCATTCCTAACGAATTATCATCAGTCCACTCTCCTTCGAACAGCTTGTGAATCGTTACTTTTTGAATGGATTACATGAGCTGCAGAATCATTCTTTCCGAGCTATCATCTAGAGAGTTCAAACTTCAGAATGGATTCCATGAGCTGCAGAATTATTCTTCACAAGCTATCATTTAAGCAGTTCACTCTTCTGATACTTTTGTAGTGAACTCCATGAGTCAATCATTGCTGATGAGCTATGAATTAAGCAGATCCCTATTGTGAAAGCCCACTGTGAATTTTGGGTTGGATTCCAGCAACTGAGTCATCCCTAAAGAATTATCATCAAAACAGTTCATTCTTCTTCGAACAGCTTTTGAATAAGAACTTTTGGAATGGTTTGCATGAGCCGCAGAATTATTCCTCACGAGATACCGTTTAAGCAGTTCACTCTTCTGAAAACCCATTGGGAATCGTTAGTTTTGGAATGGAACCCATGAGCTGTTGAATCATTCCTCAGACCAATTAAGCAGGTCCTGTGAATTATTTTTTTGGGAAGGATTCCAGCAGCTGCAGAATCATTCCTCAGGAACTGTCGTCTAAGCATATCACTCTTCTGAAAACAGCTTGTGACGCGTTACTTTTGGAATGGATTCCATGAGCTATCATCTAAACAGTTCTTCCTCATTAGCTATCTAATAAGAAGTGGCTCTTCGAAATACATACCTTTAGTGAATCGTTACTTTTAGGGATGGACTCCATGATCTGCACAATCATTCCCAATTAACTATAATCTAAGCTAGTCGTACTTCTGAAACCCCGTGTGAATCGTTATTTTTGGAATGGATTCCACGATCTGCAGAACCATTCCTCACGGGCTATCTACACAGGTCATTCTTCTGAAAACCCCTTTGGAATAGATACTTATCGTACAAACTAGGTTTATTTCAACAAGGTAAAGGAGATATGCCAAAAAAATGTGCGTTGGTGAAATTGCTTCTAGTTTGTGGATGAATTGGCATAAAATTTGGAACTCCTCCTGGCAAATTGACGCTATACTAGCTGTTCCATCAGATACTCTTCTGAACTTTGATTTGTCAACGGAAATACATCTAAATCGTCCCCTACCTCGTTCCTCCACTTTACGAGTTATTCTCGTCTCACGTTTTCCTTGATCAAATTTCAAGACTAAAGAACAAGTAAAAGCTGCTTAAGACAAGTTGCACAAAAATGAGATAAATGCTATTTAAAAACAACTAAAAAATCAGTATCTTAATAAAAGTTATATAAGTTGTTGTAAATAAGCCTTAATATAGGATTTGTTTGGCCAGAGTGAAATTAGTTTTTTGAAAAATGGTGTCACCATTTCTTTTAATTCAATAAATTAATATAATAAAAAGATCAACCTCCTCCTTTGGCATGGACGACACGTTCTGGAATCCTCTCCCGGTCGAAATGAGCGAGTTCATCGAGAAGAGCAAAATCCTGAAGAAGTACAGGGCCTTTTGGGCCGACGGTCAAGGATGCTGTCTTGGTATCAAGAGGATTTCCCGAGCCAGACGTAAGGACTGGAGCAGTCTGAGGAAGAAAATAATTTTTTTTATAATTTACTTAAAATCGAATGTGTTTGGTGAGGAAAATCAGTTTTGTAACCTTTAAAGACAATTAAAGGTTAATTTGGTCCTATAAATGTATTCATTGAATAGTAAGTGCAAAGAAACTGTTGACAATTAAGTAAGCATTAATTAAGAGAAAATTGGTAATTAACATGTTGTTTGGTTTCAACAAGTTGAAATTTTCCTCTTTTTACTCAAGAGGCAAACCGAGAAAAAATCTAGAAAGGAACTTAGCCTGGAAGCTTTCACTTTTCAGCGTTAAGCCCACGGCACGCCGACCAGCTTTTGAAAGTAATCCGCCTCGTCGAAAAAAACAAAAAACAATTCACTCGGCGGATTTTGTTTTGCATTGCCGTAATAATTTCAAGAAATAAGGTTTATTTCCTTATCTTGTATAGATATCTAAATAACTAGATTGATTAAACGATGTATCATTGGGCCATTTTCAACAGTGACATAGCACAAATTCAGCACCACAGTTGGAATCTAAACATTTCGTTTTTTTTTAATTCTTACCACTTAAAAAGATTATCCGCTTGATTTTCAATAAGCTGACACGGCGTTTGAATAAAATCCCGTCGGAATTTGATCTGGTAACGGGGCAACCAGCCTCTCAATGTGAAGAGTGAAAGGAGAGATTTTTACTTTTATATGTGAGCAACATTAAAATAATTCTTTGACGTTCAAATATCGATGCTTGTAATATTTATACAAGCTTGACAGGTTTGATTGATAAATGGTCAGATACATCTGTATATATTAACAATAGAAGAAAAAAAGTCATAATGAAATATTAATTCTGGTTACATCCAAATCTGTATGTGTACACAAGATAAACAAGAACATATCAGGTCAGGAAAAAAATTAAAAGGAATACGATACAGTAAAATCTTATTGGCGAGGAGAAAGGCAACATGGTGCCTCCCTAGAAAACAAAACCCGTTTTTCAAGTTTGTTATTTTCATTAACAAGTTCATGAGGAGACGTGAGGTAAAAATAGAAGCCGTCAAAATCATCACTGATATTTTGGGCTGCATAGTGGCCCGAGAATTAAATATGATTATCCCAGTCGTCCTGTCCGCTCTTGCTTGAAATATTAATACCACAAGGCTTATTGACAGTTCCAACTGTACAATGACTATGCACAACATGTGATCACGAAGGGCTCTAGCACCAAAGTCATTGAGGTGTCTTGACAATCAGAAACAAATATTCCCTCCAACTGCTTTATTGGCAAACAGAGCAAGCATCACCGCCAGGTAAGTCCATCGTTTGCTCATCGAGATATGGCTGATGTAGGGGTAGCAGATCTAGTCCGGCTGGATGGTTAACTGCATGTCGAGACAATTTAGGATGCCAAGGTGTTTCATTTCCCCCATTTGTATTTTATGAAGGTAGGTGAAAAATATTCCGCTCTTATGTCAGCCAAAAGCGCAGCTCTTATGTCAGTTGATATCGTAGCGATGCTATTAGCGGCGCCTAAGCCACCAATAGGACTAATCAGACTTCGTCTCAATTTTCGTTAAGTAAATATTATTACATTTACAAATCCTTGATTAACACGCTGACCGATTTGTAACAGAATAACGCAAATGTGAATTTGCAAGTAGCTGGCCTTCGCACGAAATTCATTAATAAATTTAAATTGAACAGCGCCTGAAGGTCGTGAGTTCGAATCCCGCTTGTGACACTAACTGTATCATCTCAACAAATTAACTGAAATAAATTTTGGTTGGATAAAAGTGAGAGAGACTGGAAATGCGGGAAGAAATAATGTTCCAAGTAGGTAATTATTAAACTCATTAAAGAGGTAGGAATTGGATCTGGGTATGGACAATTTTGTTAAATTCAAAATCAATAACTGTAGCATAAAAGTGAGTGTTTGGGTGAATGAGCAGGTGATTATGTGAGAGATAGTGAGTGACAAAACGAATATGTGGTTTGTGAGTGAATTAGTTGTTTTGTTGTGTAAGTTACTGAACGTTTGTGAATGAATGCGGTATGTGAGTTAGTGATTGATTAAGTATCGCCTCATGACGAAAGAGTAAGTTCTGAAGTTAGTGAGGGTTCATGAATGCATACGTGTGCGTTTGAATGATTGATTGAGCTAGTTAGTGAGTGAGAACGAATGAATGTGAAATGTCACCGAGTTAGTGATTGATTAGGTAGCTCTTCAGGATGAATAAGTAAGTTTTGAAGTTGGTGAGGATTCATGAATGCATACGTGTGCGTTTGAATGATTGATTGAGGTAGTTAGTGAGTGAGAGCGAATGAATGGGAAATGTGACCGAGTTAGTGATTGATTAGGTATCTCCTCAGGTTGAATGAGTAAGTTCTGAAGTTGGTGAGGATTCATGAATGCATACGTGTGCGTTTGAATGATTGATTGAGGTAGTTAGTGAGTGAGAGCGAATGAATGTGAAATGTCACCGAGTTAGTGATTGATTAGGTATCTCCTTAGGATGAATAAGTAAGTTCTGAAGTTGGTGAGGATTCATGAATTAGTTAGAATGATTGAGCTATTAGAGCGAATAAATATGATATGTGAGTGAGTTACTGATTGATCCTGTTGACTCTTTCTTCAGAATGAATGGGAGTTATGTTAGTGGTTGATAGTGTAAGTAGGCGAGCGTTTGTATACGAACATATGTGCGCCTGTGTAGCTAGAGATTGGTTAAGCATGTTAGTGTATGGGATTGAATGAATGCAGTATGAGCATGAGTTAGTGATTGATTAAGTATCTCACCCTTGTATGAATGTGGTGTGTGTTGAATTGGTGATGGATTGTGTAATTTATTGTATGAATGTGGTGTGTGTTGAATTGGTGATGGATTGAGTAATTTATTGAATGTTTGAGAGAATGAAAGATATGGTCTCTTCCTCACTCTCCTGCTGAGGAAAATGATTTTGGTGTGTCTGTGTGGTTGATGTCTGTGTGAGAGAAGGCCAGATCGACATGGTGACTTTGCGATTGTAATTAGTGAGTCAATAATTGATGACTGAAGATGACCTGCGTGTGTGTGACTGCGTGCGAGCGAGTATAAAATTTGTGTTGGCATGTTTCGTTGTGTTATCCAAACCGATAGAAAGATAGTGAGAGTTGTGAGTGTGAAAGGCTTATTTTAATCTGGGTTCAACGTACTCGTACATCAGCAAAAGTTGATTGTTTAGTTTGGCAATTTTCCTTCTTGCTTTATGGGCGGAGGAGTGGGCAAAAGTCAGGCGGTGTTGGTCAAATCTCAAAAAAGTATTCGTTGTTCAAATGACCGACGAAACACTGGGAATTTTGGTTATTGAATAGAATGTTGAGATCGGGTGAAAGAACTGTTGCGCTTAGCGGCTTGTGCATTATCCAAAACCTGTTTCAACCATGAACTTTAAGCCCCATCTTTAAGTCTGAAGAAAAAAAATCCCTTTGAAATCAAACATATTTCATGGTCCTTTTATTATTTATATTGTGCAGTTAAGCGTTTTTTAAAGACTTTCTTGCACCTGATTATTGTTAATTGTTTTATGATTTCAATAGTTGTTTTTGTTTCCGATTTTTTTTAAATTTTTTTAGTGCCATGGAAACTATCTTACTTTAACATTGTTTTTCCTGACCTCTTTGTCTAGAATGGAAATACTATTCCTAGTACAGCCTTATTTTTGCTAGGAATAGAGGGAAATTAATAATAGGATGTCAAATGGCATGCCTTGAACCGTTCTGTGGGTTAGGAACATAAGATAAGAAGTTCGAAACAAGAATGCAAGTAATCCATGAATTTCTTCATAAGATTTGAAAAGAAAGGCGTTTTCAAAAATGCATAAACAATTTTGGACATATTTACAGTCACGTAGAAACTAGTCAGAAACTTGATTTGTCCCCTAAGCATAAAACTTTACTTAAAAAAATAATCTTTAAAAGCAAAACTGTTTAGACTGACTGGAAATATAAGAAGAATGCAGTTCCAAATAGGCAATTATTGAACATTAATTAGCTCTGGACGTGGGCAATTTTGTATAATCTCAAATCACTAAATTCAATATAAAATCGAGTGTTTGGGTGAATGAGAAGGTGATTGTGTGAGAGAGAACATTTGGGAATGAATAGGTGTGCATGAATGTAGTATGTGAATTACGAATAATCTGGATCTTGGTATGGTCTGGATGACAAAGCAATTTTTGTTATTATAATGTTTTCGACCTATTTTAAGGCCTTCAACAGGGTAAAACAATCTTAAATATGTCTACTAATTGACATAATTAACTTTTTAATAGATGGTTTCAAATTTCTTAGACGACCGACTCAGCCCCAACTGGCCAAGGACTGTGAGTGAGTTGGAGATTGATTAAGTACCTCTCCTCAGAAATAATGATTAGTCTGTGAAATTTTATGGATTGTGTACATTGGTGAGCATTTGTGAATAAATAGATATCCTGTGATTGATTGAGATTTGAGGAAGTTAGTGAGTGAATGAATGTGGTTAGTGAATGAACGAATAATAAGTGGTGTGTGTTGAGTTAGTATATCACTAACTACGTAAACATTGTTTGTGTGAATGAGTAATGATTTTATGAGAGTTAGTGATTGATGTTTGTGAATGAATAAGTGTCTCTGTGAGTGTGAATGAGACTAGTGATTGGCTGAGTGATAGTGAATGAATCCATACATGGTGTGTGTGTTGAGTTGGTGATGGACTGTGCAAATTAGAGAGTGTTTGGGTAAATGAGTAAGCGATTTTGTGAGAGTTAGTGAATGATTCAGTAAATTAATTAATTAATTAATGCAGTTAGCTTGTAATTGAAATGGTTATTTATTTTGTTAAGTTAGTGAGCGTTTGTTAATTAATAGGTATGTGAGTGAGTTGATTGATTGAGCCAGATAGTGTATTGTGATTGAATGTGGTGTGAATGAGTTATTGACTTTAATTGTATCTGCTCAGAATGAACGAATAAATGGTGTGTCTTGAGGTGATGATGGATTGCGCAAGTTAGTGAGTTTTTGAGTGATTGAGTAAGTGATTTTGTGGAAGTGAATGATTCAGTAAGTTAGTGAGTGAGAGTTAATGAATGCGGTATGCTTGTAAGCGAGATGGTTACTTTCTTTTGTTAAGTTAGTGTGCGTTTGTGAATTAATACGTGTGCATGTGAATAAGTAAGTTGATTGATTGGGCTAGATAGCGCTCCGTGAATGTAGGTAGTTTGATTGAGTTAGTGATTGATTAAGTGCCTCTCTTCAGAATGAACGAATAAATGGTATGTCTGAGACTGAGGTGATGATGGATTGTGCAACTTAGTGAGTGGTAAAATTGATTGTTTAGTGAATAATAAATCGTATATCATGAGCTAGTGATTGATTAGGTAAGGTAATGATTAAGAGTGGATGAACGCGGTATGTGAGTGAATTAGTGATTTTGTGATGTGATATGCTTGTGAGAGTTAGAGAGCGTTTGTAAATTAATGCATGTGTGAGTCGGTCGATTGATTGAACGTCTCTCCTCAGCATGAATGAATAAATGGTGTGTGTTGAGATTTATGATTTTATGATACTTCTTCTGGCGAAATAATTTTGGTGCGTGATTAATGTAAAAATGATACGCAATTTAGGAAGTGGAAGTGAATGAATAGGAGCGTGTGAGTGCCCTGTGATTAAATGAGTGCATTAGTGAGTGAGTTATAAAATGAATTTTGGGAGTGTGTGTGAATAAACAAAAAACATTTTTAGCATAAAAAATTTAACTTTTGATGTCTTCTGCTAAAAAAAGAAACCCAGTGCTAATTGAACCACGTGAGAATTTTTGAGCCTTGTTTCACATGACTTTAAATATGAAAAAAAACCACGGGCTCTTTCATGCGCACACAATACCAGGAGAAACCATATAAAGTGATACGTAAATCTGTAACAATGAATTGGATAAAATCTTTAAACTCACTTTAGTGGCGTTTTTGTGTTCGGTCAACTGTTGAGCGGATGGCAGTCTCGACATTTTGACAACTGGTTACAGACGGGCGGATGACAACGACGGCGACGACAACGAACAGTTCGGCTCGACAACCGGAGAATGACAACAGGCATAGCCTTCCTAGCTGTTTAAATATACTCCCACTCCGGTTTCTCGAGGGGATCCGATGCTTGATACCGGAGCCAACAGATGACAACACTGGTCAGCGGGAATGTAATTTTTTAAATTATTATTTTATTACTTAAATAAATGTTAATTTTATATATAAATTTGTATTTTGTTTTATTTTTTTCGAGCTGTGGAACAATGTAGAGCTCTATGGATGAACCTGGTTGTCCCCTTTAAATAGTTTTCTTTTTCATAACTTTGAACATAAATGTATCTAAAATATATAAAAACCAATAGAAAAAAGTTTATAAAATATATACTTTTTTAATGGAAGGAAAGAACATATAGTTTCTTGTTTAATGTGATGTTCTTTGAAAGTAGTTTCTTTGTCATTAAATGCTTTTTCTGATGGATTTCACTCTATTGTTTGTCATATAAAAAAATTCACAGTTCTATTATTTAGGGACAGGAAAAAAATTTTCCTTGTTACCAGGAAACACAGGACATACACCAAGTGGAACGATAAATTGACCAAGGAAAGTTTGATGAAGACTGGTCAAATTGCCACTTATTAGACAATTGATTAATAAAAGTTCCTCGGTTTAATGGGATTGTATTCCAGGACATTGCTGAAAGGGTAAACTACTAAACGTAGGACATGTCAGGGCTGGAATATTAGTTGGAATGCTAACTGGACACTGCGTTCTTTGAAATGAGAGATCACCAACTTTGTAACTGGAGCATCTGTTCATAATTAATTGTTCAAAATAAAAAAATAGATGTAAAGCTTTGTACTCTTGGTCGTTTATTTAAAAAAAAAAAATTAACGATGGTTTGGCACTTACAAACTCAATTAAACCAAATAGAAAGCAATAAAGAAATCTTACAAGGAACAATTCAAAAGCAAAAAGGAAACATAATTTAAAACAATTGACCAACCACGTTAATTAATCAAAAATCGCATATAGGTCAGATTCTGCAGTTTAGCTCAAGAAGAACATCAAAATTTTATTCACACCCCAAGACCGAGTTTTCTCCCAGCAGGGCTGAGGGCATGTGAAGGGGTCCAAAATTATCTGTTATAATGTGTAGATTTTTGGAAACAGCCTGTGCAGGTATTGTCAGAAAGAAGACAGTGGAACATGTCCTTTGTTGGTGCGAAGGCTTATTTAGGATGAGATTCCTACTCTTGGGAGAAGAAAAGCCCAGGCCTGAAGGATATACAAGGGAGTCCTTGAGAAAGCTTAGGGATCTGGTAAAAAGCAAGCTTAACGAGGAGCTTTAGACAACACTAGAGCTGCACAATAGACTAATACTGATCACAGTATGCGGGTCATAAAGAGGCCACTCCTACTCTAATATTTGGCTTTCAATGGCCCTTGCACCTATCAGCCCTAAACTCTTTTGTAGGATACCGAAGTAGATCCATCATTCAATGGATTAAGAATAAGTCCTCTGTTCAATGGAAATGTATTCTAAGATAGAAACATGCAAACAAACTCAAATTGCAAAAACTAATAGCAGAACTATTAAAGCTAGGATGTGTTAGGATTAGGATGATATTTGGACTGGATCCTGTAAACTGCAGAGGCATATATATAAACGAATAATCTGGATCATGGTATGATCTTGATGAAAAAGCAAATTCAATTGTTACTGCAAGCATGCAGATTGTCAATAACGATTGATTGTTTTCTCAAGACCATACCGTGATCTAGATTATTGTGACTAAAAAAGTGTTCGATACTTCTAACACTTAAAATATACTTAAACTCAGAGAATCAGAAAAAACTTGTACAGGTATTGCCAGGATGAAGACGAAATAGCATAACATGTTAAATGGGATTCTAGGAGGCAGGCAAAAAGCTCCCAAAAGAAACATTGCAAAAACGGCAGAACTACTATACCTAGGATGTATTTGGCTTAGAATGATAGTTGGACTGCCAATTGGACACGACATACTCCTGAGGCATATGCAATAAAAGCAGCAGAAACAACCTGTACAAATATTTTCAGGAAGAAGAAAAAGAAGTTGGTGTGAAGGCCTATACAGGCTGATTCTTACTCTGATAAAAAGCTTTAGATATGATAGAAAAGGCTTTATAAAAGTGCTTTAGATAATAATGAAGCTTACACAATAGACCAATATTGTAGTGTGTTAGGTTGTAAAAAGCCCAACTCCTAACCTTAACCTTATATATGTCTAATCCTACGCTATCTCTTGACCGATGTTTTCATGTCCTTTCCTCATACAATCCCATAAAAGCTGAGTTCCTCAAGCCTTCGAGCTCCTTTCCTTTACTAGATATATACAGCTGGCATCATACCCTAAAACTCTTCTTACCTCCTGAAGCAACATCTTTCCCTAATCAAGAAATCGTGTAAAGAAATGCAAAAATTAATATCACCATCCTCCATGGAAAAACCTCGCCTCCAATCTACTTCAATAATAAATCCATCCTATTGCAAACCAGGTGTGACATGTAGGGATGCACCTAGACAAGAGATTAAACTGGGATCCCCATACCTGACTTAAATCCAAGAACTGCTAAGACAATTTTGAATTTGAACAAACTTTCCATCATTCAATTCCCAGTCAAAAATACTAAATGCACCATTCTACGTACCCATTGACCTAAATATACCCTGTGCATATGGCAAAACTCTAAGGAAATACTCTAAATTCCACAAAACCCTCCTGGTCACTCTTCATTCAATCACCGAACAGCTATCATCCTGCCCGGAGATCTATCATAAATATGTTGACCATTTTTTATCTTAACCTTAACCTATAAAATGATAATACTGTATGCATAAAACGCATTTATGTATAATTTAAAAAACAATTAAGTAAACAAAGTCCTGTCAAACAGGACTCAGGACTTCAGGAGGGCTTAAAGACCTATACATAACGGTTACCCCTCCCAGACAAAGGGTCAAACCACATTACAATTTTTATCAAACTATTCATAGCCATTCGTTGAAAAAATCATGGACTGTGCTGGGATTTGAACCCGTAACCACTAGGGTGGCAAATACGAGTCGCCCTAACCACTTGGCCACCACAGTCCCCTCCCTTAAATTTAAAAATTACATTATGAATTTGTATTAATTTATGCACAACAAACTATTTCGTTTAAAAATCTAGGAATATTTCAATATGTTATAACAGTATAATAATATTTGTATGTCAGTTTATCTATTATTTTTTTTTTTTTTTTTTTTACGAGGGTTCGCAACAGCAGAGGTCATATAAACCCTCGGGGTGCCGGTGTTTTTGAAAAAAAGCCCATTTGTAAGTATGTCGGGTTCGAATGCAGGGCCGCTGGATTCGAACCCGGGACCTTTACCTTACAGTGATGAGCGCCGTGTCAAAGACTAAACCTTGCGGCCACCGACGCCCCCTGTTTATCTATTATGAAATAAATTTAAACAATAATTTTATTAACAGCTTTATTACAGACATAAAAATAAACATTTTAATTACAAAACATTGTATTTTTTTATTTATATTCTACTTATATAACCATATCTTTAAAAAACCTTACATTTATTGCAAAAATTTTTTTTAATTCTGACTGTTTTGAAATAGATCAGGATTTTGCGAATACGATGGCCACCCTTGAAGGAATGTATATCTATAATAAAAATATGTAGTTTATAGGTTATTTTTATTACAATGTAATTAACATAAATAATATAAATATAAAATAAAACAAAAATTGTAAAAAAGAAAAAGAAAATACCTGGAAAGAATGTTTCCTTCCAGCGAACTCTTGTGATCCTGTAATATACAGAATATTTTTTAAAAGGCGTTCATGCCCGCCAAATTCTTTATCATCACTGCTCAATACGATCTTATAATGGCCTTCCTCATTAACGCCGACCCTGTAGTCAGGAAAACTTTTCGTTGGATGCAGGTTGAAAGCAAACACTAGTCCTGCCCTTTCAAAGACTATTATTTTATCATCTTCGTGCTTCCAAGTTACATAGCCCTGGTGGGGGAAAAAAATTAATGACTTTTTTAAATTTATAAGTGTCGCTAAATTACTGGGCCAGACGATAGCCAATTGTATTTGGATTCTAAATTGTTCATAGCTGCGTCAAAATCATTGAGTTGTTTGTATCTCAAACTGCAGTCATCAACGAGATTCCATTGTCGCCGTGCATAATGGTATGATTCGTTATTTCCTTCTCTTGGGAAATCGAGCCACTCTGGATGCCCAAATTCATTACCTATGAACAATAGCAGTTTATAACGTGTTTATTTTATTAATTTTTATTTTAATGTACCGATGAAGTTTAAATAAGCTTCTCCACCAAGACTATGAGTAAGAAGTCGAATAACTTTATGAAGCGCAATTCCCCTTTCTATTATTATAGAACTACCATATAGTAACGACATCCCTGTATACATTTCTTTATCCATCAGCCAAAATGCTATTGTCTTGTCGCCTACTAGTGCCTGAAATTCAATAACAAAATAAACAGTTGGGTATTAATTGTTAATTTAAACAACTCATGACAGAAAATATTTTTGACAAGCCAAGGGATTACGAAGCTAGGTATTGTTAATAGAAGACTAGCCATTTCTACTCAGACATTCAGGAGGCACAATTAGTGCGGTAAAGTCCAGTCATTGCATTAGGGCTCTGTCTGACATCAGGGAATACAGCAAAATCATCCTTGTCTAAGTACCAGGGCACACAGTACAGAGGAGGAATGAAGAGGCTGATAAATTGCCCAAGGAAAGTTCGATAAAGACACTTATCGATCCTGAACCTTTTGTGACATACCAAAGTACTAAAAACGAGGATCCATCAGACAATGAATTAAAAAGTCCAATCAAAATCAATGGGAATATAGCCCAGTTCACATACAGAGATATGTGTAGTTCAAAGAAAAGTTCATTGCAAAAACTAACGGTAGAACTACTAAATCTAGGATGTGTTAGGACTAAAATAATAGTTGGTCTGCTAACTGGACACTGCAGACCCCAGGAGCATATGTTAGGGGAGCATGTCCTTTGTTATGAAGGCTTATGTAGGGTGAGATTTTCCTGGGAGAGGAAACGCCCAGGCCTGAAGGATACGAGTCCTTGAAAAAGCTTTGGGATTTGATAAAAAGAGCTCTAGAAATGGAGATGTACAATAGACCAATACTGGCCATGAAGCACAGGCCTTAAAGATGCTGACTCCTACTCTAATCTTAATCTTAATCTTACTTGATCATGAGATTCACAGTAAGCGATTGTTTTTTCCATCCACCTCCTGTTGGTCAAAGTGTGAACGATATTTCCCATGTTCCAGTCTTCGTCTTTCGTCGTCTTTAACAGCTGGATCCATTTATCAGGAATCGCCATGCCGAGTCTATAATCAAATCCTACACCAGCTTCTTTGACTGGTCTGCACAGGGCTGGCATGCCAGAAACATCCTAAGAAAACAAGTGTTAACAAAAACAAAACAAAAAAAATTATCTTATGTGTTTTACTTCTGCTACAGTAATAACATCAGGGTATCGCAGATGCAAGATATTATTTGCTACCATAAGATAGTTTAAAGCATCTGTATCAACATTGAGGCCAAAATATTCGTTGTAGTCACCAGAGAAGCCTTGCATGCCATGATTATGGTATAACATTGAAGTGACACCATCAAAACTATTAATTAAAAAAAAAGAAAATGAAAAAATAGTTTTTCTAATAAAGTTCCAAACTCACCGAAAACCGTCAAAACCATACTCTTCGTAATACCAACATAGATTTGATATAAGAAAACGCAAAACTTCAGGCCTGTGAAAATTATATCAAATTGTAATTTTTTAAGGTTTTACAGGAAAAATTTTCCAATCGCTTACTGTGAATAATCAAATAATCTGCTGTCCCAAAATGGATGCATGCCGCGCTGTCCGTCATGGAAATAGCAAGCTTCAGTGCCATCGAACTGATTCAGTCCATCCCAAGCATTTTTCGAAGCATGAGAATGGACAACATCCAATAACACAAACAAACCTTCTTTGTGACACACATCGATCAATTCTTTTAGTTCTTCTGGAGTTCCATAACGACTAGAACGTAAATTCATAAAAGTTTTAAAATGCTGATGTAACATATTTCTCTTTTTGATACCTTGAAGCGGCAAAAAAGCTTGTAACTTGATAACCGAAGCTTCCGTAATAAGCGTGTTCCATAATTGCCATGATTTGCAATGCATTGTACCCTATTAAACTGTAAAATTGAACAGAAAATATTCCAATTTGATTGTTAATAATTACCTAATTTGACAATGCGCGGTACAATATTCTCAGCAAACTCTTTATAAGTTCCCACTCTACCCTCCTGAGAAGCTATTCCGACGTGGCACTCATAAATCTTAAGAGATCTCAAAGGCTTTGGCCGAGTATTTTTAAATTTGTATTTCTAAAGGATAAATTTTTTAATTATAGGAAGTTTTCAAAAAGTAATTAAGCATACTTTATTTTCAGGAGGGTTCCAAAATAGATGTTTATACGTGAGACCTTCCTCTTTAGGAGGTTTTACAACATACGTTGCCCAAGGGCTTAATCTATTCTCTAAATTTCCAGTTTTCGTCTGGACACATATCTAAAAATAAAACAAAAGAAAAAGTCAAACACACTCTGACAACGAATTTTGAAAAATACCTTCAATTCACTCAAATGAGGTATTTTACAACTTCCATCGCTGTTCGGGTCTAAGTGCAATGTCCAAATCCCGTAATCCTTTTTCTCAAATGGATGCAACATTTTGTCCCGGTCATCTATATTATATTAATATAAAATATGCAAAGAATATAAAATGAAACGACTGAAAATCCTGCCTTACTCAAAAGCCTACACAGGTACAACTGACAAGCACCGGGCGCCCACTCCATACAATCGACGGAATTGTCAGTATTGACATGGATACCGAACTTTTTATACGCTTGGCAAAAATCTTCTAGGCCTCCCCACTCGGATTTAATTTTTTCCACACAATCTTCCATCACAGCATATCTAAAAACATAAATTTAAATCACTTAAATCAAAAACAAATGATGGCAGAAACAAACAAGGCAACAGGTTTTCGGTAAAAAATTCAGCCCAGAGGACCGCATCGACTCAAATATACAATAAAAAATAAAAATTAAAAAAACAATAATTTCAACATATAAATTTCAAAACAGACCTTTTTCTAAATTCCTTTTCGTGAGACTTTAAGTAAGGATCCCTTTCCAAAAGCTTCTCAAGCTCAGGAACTTGAACTTCCATGGGATCTACGGATGAAAGCCTTCCTCCCATGTTGGATTTCTTGACAAACTGGTTTATATTTCCTATAAAAATACCCGTTCCTATCGTATTGAAAATATAAAAAAAAAAGAACTCTTATCTTCTTAGGCTATGATAAGCATTCATGGCTGTGTTTCTCTTATTGACCTTTCTTACATTAAACTTGCTATACAGTGTAAGGGGTCGGCCGAAGAAGTCGGCTATTACTTAGCATACCATTTATGCTCATTTTATATTGTTTTGTGATGAGAATCACCATTCCAATGTGATAAGACTTAAGTCTCAGTCACTCCCCTCTCTTGGTGACTTGGTGTGATCTATCCAAAATTATCAACATCTACAACAATTTTACAGATGCACTTGGGAAAGTATGAATTTAACCAGTTATCGAGCAAATTGAGTTTTTTTAAGGTTTAAATCATTAAAAGATAAAAGAAACAATATATTAAAAAAAACTTTATTAGAATCAACAATTCATATGTCACAGTGCCTTAAATAAACATCGTTAAAAATTATGTGCAATTTTTTTTTAATTAATACAATAAATCTATTGCTGAATTAGATTGTAAAAAAGTTATCTGTTTATAAAGACAATAGTTATGTAAATAATGCAATAATTAATTACACATTCTAAAGCTATTAACTGTAATTAAGGCTGATAAACAACCTTTGTTTAACTCCTAGAAGTTTCAAAGTTCTACTAGCCTTGTCTATTTAACAATTAAAGAATAATACCTTAATTTTTACTACATTCAATTAACTACATGTCAATAACATAAATCAATAAAAGATAATATAAGTACAGCAGTAATTATACATAAATTAATCATAATATACAATAATGAACTATGAAATGTATGATATAAGAATAGACTATTTTTATTTACACAATAACAACTAAAGATTATCCAACGTTATCCAATTTTTTTGTATTATCAATTTGCCGTAGGTTTGGTTAAAATTGAAAAACAATTCTTTCATTTGTTCAAAATTAACAAATTTTATACAACCCAGGGCTGGAGGTTTAGTTGAAATACAAGACCATTTTGAGATTTTGAATGTACTGGTCATTTCTAAAAGTATGCAAGTGCATTTTCTATGTATAATTACTATATTTTATACGCATAGATTAAAATTTAACTAACAATTTGTTATACAGCTAAATGATTTTTTTTTTTGTGTGTTTTGGTGAATTTTCTTTCGTTATAATTAAATATTTTTTAAAACAAATTATTTTGTTCAATTTGGTTTACATTGAAATAAATTTGTTGTAATTACAACATGACAAAAATATAGTATGAAATAATCAACAAAATACAAGTGTTCAATTTTTTTCTCTGAGCATATTATCGATTTGCTATTGATTTAGGTAAAATTTTGATTTTTCAAAATTAAAAAAATTTTCTAATTTTTTGCTGGTCATTTTTAAAAATGTGCATGTGCATGTTTATACGTATAATTACTACATTGTACAAACATATATTTGTATAGTACTATACACTGTACAAAATATATATGATGTAAGTCATGTGACTACATAATAAATACTGCTCACAGGTGTGACATCAAAAACGCTGGTGACTACCCGATTGTGTGAATGTATTTATTTTCATAAGTGGTTCAGTGTGTGTGGACACCGTAATATCGAGTACCCACTGTTGAACTAATTAGGTTGTCTTAGGATAGTGAACACATGATGTTTACTATGTGTGAATGTATTTATTAGCATGAATGAATGGAAGTGTCAAGGTAAATCGCATTGCTAGACTTCATACTGTCGGTTTAGGTTGTACATAATTTTAACGAAGTTGTAGGCATGGGGTTTCAGCTGTATATCAAGAGATCTTGAGATTCGCCAAACTTAGGTTAGATAATCATTGAATAATATGAATGTTTATTTTAATTGACCTAGAACATTTTAATCACATGTGGAAGGGTTAAACATCAAAGATAGAGGTAATAAAAAAAAAGCGAGATAAATAAAACACGAGGAGCTGGCAATAGCCCTAGCTGCTAGCTGGCCGGAAGGAAAAAAATTATACAAATTATAAATACACGCACAAGAAATAATTAGACATAAGTATTTATTCTATTTATTATTTATAATCTAGATGTTTATTTATATTAGTATATTTTAATTGTATAAATATTTTTATTAAGTACACAAATTCTAATTTGCATTTTTCTCTTATATAAGATGAAATCTACAAAATATGAAATAGTTCAGCCAATGTTATTCTAATGGTGTTTTAAAATTACAAAATAAATTAATTAAATAGATAAGTCAGACACATTTCATCATTTCACTATCTCCAGTGTTAAGTAACTAAAACTTAATTCCACAGAATTACCCAAACTTAACACTGAAGATTGTGAAATGCCGAAATGTGTTCCATTAACAAAATCAGCGAGCACAGGCAGATCAGGTTACATCTATACTATAGCAGTTTAATCCCCGCAGACCACAGGAGAAAATTTTACAATTTAAATATATAAGGTTTATTGCTAATTTATAGCTTTATGAGCACCATTAAAACTTATATATAAGTTTTGAAATTTACCAGGTCTCTGATTGAATTAATTTATTCTAATAAGAATAACATATCTACAACACTTTCTTAATGAAGTGTTAACACACAAATCACTTGTTTTTACGTTAAATCTAGAGCTAGAACGAGGAAGGAAGATTGTTTATATTATACTCTATAAGTCTTAATTGTTTAACATTTGTATTTCAAACCTAACTAGACAAAAAAAAATTTTGCTACAAATTATTCATTATACACGCTCCATGGAAGGGATGCTGGGAAGCGGGGCGTTTATTCCCCAGGCACTGCAGCCTTCTGGCTTATTGTACCTTATACACGCTCCAAATGGCTTTTTTCTCAAAATGCTTATCATTGATTGGCTAGTGTTTTATAGTTTAAGATTTAATTTTTTATAAATATTTTGCAACTTTAAGTATTAAAAAAAACTTAACATCTACACATTTTTTCTCATAAATAAACTAAAATTTGATACGTTTAAGTGTAATGATCACTTTTATAATAATTCTTCTTCGTTCATCATTCAAATTATTTTGGCACAACCTTCTCTTGTCGATGAGTTACGGTTGAACTCAAAATTATCTCCATTGGGGAAGACATTTTAATGAAATGAGGGGTTTTACAAAGTATTTTTTTAAAAATACAATGTTAATAATTTTATACAAAATTAAAAATCTGTTTACAAAAATATAACACGATTCCTTCGCACTTCGTTCATTGACATAAAATGTCTTTTAAAATAAGAACAATCATTTTTTGTATACCTTTTCATTCATAAATTTTCTTTTCAAGGTATGGAATTTGAAAATAAAAAAAATGATTTTTTGGACAATACAAATTTTGTCCTAATTAAAATCATAGCTTTACAAGCTCTATTAATAAATACATATTTAACAAATAATTTAGATTTTACCCAACTGTGCATGTGCTTGTGTGTGTATTATACGTACGTAATAAAATTGACACATTCTATGGTTTAAACTGTCCATAATGTATCATATTATACAATAATAATTCTTTATGTATTTATTACCATTTAATTTTTTTTTAAATATGAACTCTATTATAAATAACTATGTCATATGCTACATGGACAAGCTGTAAAAAATAGCGGTAAAAATAATTTGAAAACTGTTACAGCTAACATTCTGAGATCAAATGGAACCATTTTCTCCTCGTAATATCTTTTCGTATCATAGAAACGATTTTAAATAGGTTAAAAAAATGTTTCGTAACTATAGTTAAGATTTTGGAAAACGTATTTATTGAAATGCTATTGAGCTGTCTTGCATTTCACTTTGAAAACTTTTAAATGATTGATATTCTCACTTCGAACACAAAAATTCCCTTGATATATTAACATTAATCTAGATATGTAATTAATTATTGCTGGAAAAATTATTTAGACATAAATTTTAATAAGTATAAAACATTGTTTAAATACGTCTTGACTAAAAACATTCGGTTTTTAATGTAAACAAAATTGGTGTTGAACTTATAGTTTTATTTGCCATAATTTTCTGGTTTGCTTCTTTCCTTCTTGTAACTGTACAATCAATTCAACTAATCTCAATACGACTATTGTTATTTTTATATGCACAAAATATAATGTAATTTATTTAGAAATCGTGAGATGCGGTCTGGTGTGACGTAGGTTTCAGAAAAACATTTTCTTTATCGTGCCAACGTTTCGATCTTTATTGACTCAACACTCTCAACACGACACGCAAGAATGGCACAATTACACAAAAGACAAACACTTTGAGCCCTGAAGATGATCTCAATAAAGATAGAAACATTGGCACGATAAAGAAAATGTTTTTCTGAAACCTACGTCACACCAGACCGCATCTCACGATTTCTAAATAAATATCGATTAACGTCACTATTCACCACACATATAATGTAATATGCACAATTTCATATGTACATGTGTATTTTAAACAAAAGATGATCTTATGCAAGGTTATTTTTCTCCAAGTGTAACTAAATAAAAAACAAGTTTTTATTCTTCATCAGTTTTGAATTTAGACGTGGCATAGTATTAAAGCTGGTTGTTATACTTAAATACTTGAATTTTTTGTACTTAAGAAGTGGATGAAACAATTTTGAAATTTATTCCTTGGTTAAGTCAATACTTAGCCAAAATAGTAAAATGGCTCAAAAATATATTTCCTCGTTTTGACTTGTGTGATTTATCAACTAGATTTCAGCCATTGTTTTAATCTACTTTGGTAGTTTTTCTGAATAATAATGACTTATTACTCTTGTTTTATTTATTTATTTTTTATTCTGATCGTGTTACACAGAACATTTATTAGAATAATTCAAATATCCATCTCAGTCTATAAGAAAATGATTTTTGTTGTCCATTATAAAAACTTAAGACATGTTAGATTATATAAATTTTGTATAATAACATGGTTTAATAAAAGATGTAAGTATACTAGTTTTCTAAATACCTCATAATTGTATATGTTTTTAATTTGATTATTTTGAGTCTACTGCTATTTCTATAAATAGAATATTCTAAAATTAGATATTTATATGAAAAAAATTAGTTATTTAGGCCACTTGGAAATTACTGTAATTTCCAGAACTATACTTTAGACATTAGACTAATGTGAACAAGTACCACCCAAAATTTAGCACGAATGATTTTTTTTTTTAAGACAATTTCTATTCATACTAGGTAAAAACCTCTGGGCTAGTAAGTGCTGTTGAAAGTTAATATTTAAAACACTATCATTGTGAAAATGATTATAGTACTAAAGGGTGGCAATGCAATAAATGTGCCCAAGCAGTGTGATTTTTTTTTTGTTCTAAACACTCGTGCAAGAAAGCAACGGTGTTGAAAGACGAATGATTTCACTGCTTGGGATTTGTTTTTGCTAGGAACCAGCGGATACACCTGTGGGGTCTAACTTTTCCTTTTCGTCCAGAGAATCATACATTGGGTACTCAAAGCAAAGTATAAACTTCATACCTCGAGGTACTTCACTGTAGAATGCTGACGGAAGAGGTATGAGAGGGGATGTTGATGCTTTGTATATCCTATATTGCGGGTCGCTACAATAGAAAAACATTAGTCGATTATTTTTTAGTCCAGACAATTTATTATATTTACTTTCTGTATTTCATGTCAGCTGCTCTTTCTACTAAAGGAATTCCAGAAACAAAGAGAATAATAAAAGCTGTGAATATAGGGCTAGCAACAGATATCCATTCAAATCCTTCAATTACGTTAGTCGATATTACGAATATTCCAATCCAAACGACAATCTCTCCAAAATAATTCGGATGCCTCGATAGACTCCATAAACCTAAAAAGTGACAAAGTGATTAAAAACAAGGAACAAAGTAAGATATATTTTGTTTACCATCATTGCACCATTTTCCTTTATTGGCAGGATCAGAGTGAAACGAAAACTTTTGGAGGTCGGCATACGTTTCAATGAGTAACCCGGCAAAAAACATAATTGTCCCTGCAGAGTCCAACGGGGCCATCGTTCTTGGAGCCCCTCTCGAAATGGAATTATGAGGTGCATTTATGAATATCACTGGAAGACTTACAACAAACACCCAAACTGCCTGAAATTAAATTTTATGCTTGAATAAAGTTTATACTAGACAACATTATTGTAGTTTCAGGGGACCAAAATAACCGAGGGATTATCCAACTGATATTTGCCACACTAGCAGCTCTGGATTCGAATCCCAGCATAGCCCTTGGAATTTTAATATTTAGTAGAAAAGCGTATTGTAAAATGGTTCTGACCCCTTGTCAACAACACCCAACATGGACAAGGACGTTATTAACCCCTTCTGTATGCCAGGAATTACTTTAATTATGTTTGCTGAACTAATAATTACATAACTTTTTCCACAACCATGTTTTTTTTATTTATCAACTAAGTTTAAATGTTATTACTATGATAATAAGTGAATGGGGTGTTGACTTAGTGCTCAATCATTGTAAGGTAAAGGTTCCAGGTTATAAAATAAAACCATGTATAAAAAGAAAAAAGAGTAACAACAAATCCAACAAAAAGCAATTTATGCATAACATAAATACAGTTTAGAGGGAGAGAAGCATTAGCAAATGCACAGTGCAGCGATGCTTTCAGAGATTTCATTTTGAAGATAGGGAAGGTCATGGTAGGCCTTCCATTGTGGATGACGAACGTTGACGACGTTGATTGAAGAAAATTCACATAAGACAACATGGGGAATTGCGGAAGAGCTTGGTGTTGGCCACTCAACCGTTGTTTGCCACCTGGAGAAAATTGGTAAAGTAAAGAAGCTTGACAAGTTGGTACCACACAAACTAACAGAAGCTCAAAGGAATCAACACTTTGAAATTTCCATGTCTCTTCTGTTGCAAGACCCAAACGATCCATTTCTCGATCAAATCATCATGTGCGATGAGAAATGGATTCTGAACGATACAGGTCAGTATATGGACAAGGATGAAGTGCCAAAACTCTTCCCGGAACCAAAACGGTGATTGTTTGGGGTTATTCACTATAATTTCCTTCTCCACCCCTTCAAAATCCAACTTATATAAACATAAAACAGCAATATGTCACTGGCACTCTCAACACAAGACACAAGAATGACACATTTACGCAGAAAACAAACACTTTGAGTGAGTACAAATACTTTGACTGGATATAAATTCATATTGTTCCACATCCTACATTAAATTAAACAACGTTTGTAAATCCCAGGCCCTGAAGATTATCTCAATAAAGATTGAAACGATGGCATGATAAAGAAAATGTTTTCCTAAAACCTACGTCACATCAGACAGCATCTCACGATCTCCGAATTCATTGACTAACACACATAATTTCCTGAATTATGGTGAAACAGCAGAGAAATATTGGAAAGAAATTGACAAAATGCCTGGGAAAATGCAACTCCTTTGTCCAGTATTGGTAAACTGTAAGGGGCCAATTGTTCTTCGTGATAACACCGGGTCACATGTCGCAATGTCAACCCTGCAGAAACTTAAGGACTTAGGATATGAAACCTCGCACCCACCATATTCACCAACCTCTTGCCTACAGACATCCACTTTTTTAGCCATTTTGATCACTTCTTGAAGGATAACATTTTTATAGAATGCAGTGAAGCCTAAAATGCCTTTCAAGACTTTATTGTGAGTCAAAATAAAGATTTTTGTCAGCAGAATAAAAGCTATTATAACAAGTTGACAAAGATGTGTCCATGGAAAGATTTTGATGTAAAATATTTCGAATAAATTTTCTTTATGTTATAAAAATTAAAAATAGTTTTGATTAACTTTTCAAAATCTGCATTACTTTTTCACTAGCCCAGTAATTATTTATTTTATAATATTTTCACCGAAATACTAATCAGGGAGAAGAACGCTAAACCTGCACGACTTAAGAGTCATGATGGTTTAGCATCCATTCTTCCTTCTAACGTTTAAAAATGATTACAATATTATAATTAACAATAACTTTTTAATAAAACAGTATTTTTGTAAAAGGTGAATGGGGTTTACCTGGAATGTCCAGAATACTGCAAATCTTATAACGTTGCTTTTTCTGCTTTCGAACCTAGCATCTCTCCCGACTTGCATTATCCTGTAGAGGAGGTAGCCCGAGAGCCTCACCCCCCAGAGGCATACCAAGGCAGTGACCATCAATTGTCTATTATCGTAAGACTAGACAAAAACCAATATTATTTCTTATATCCGTCTCGATACGAAATTACAACTTACGGGTCTAAACTGCTGCTGCCCGAGGAAAAAAGTTGTCAACGCTATTATTATAAAATTGACGCCCCCGGCGAAATCAGTAAGTTTGTCGAATTGGAAATAAGCAGCGATGCAAAAGAAGATCACCTGCATCGTCACGGTGACAATCGCACTTATCGCCAGATGCGACTCGTCCAATACGTTAACGACCATTTTTACAGTTATTAATCAGATATTTTTTTTCAACATCTCCGGAGTATGAGGTGATATTTAGCTGGAGCCTGAAGTGCCAGAACCTCCTGGGTCGTCATCTTGGAGTCCTTCCAAACTTCGGTGAAAGAGGGCCAGGAGAAGTCCATTTCCGCCAATTCTTACTGCCTGTCGTCCACGACCTCTCCTTCAACCCTTCTCACTCGACCGCCCTTTCCACCCACCCTTCTAATACTGGTAAAAAATACTACAGGGACCATCATGAGGTGATCGATGTTAAATTCTCATAAACACGTATCGATGGAGCGTAGTGAATCTCGATTTAAAGTTAGACTGACACGGGGGGCGTCCACAAGGGTTTAAGCATTGACACGACGCTCATCACTGTAAGGTAAACCGCTCATTAGGAACCCTGATAAACTTACAAATAAGCTTTTTTCATAACCCCGAGGGTTCATTTAAACTCGTAGTTGAAATTAAAAAAAAAAAAAATAAATAAATAAAACAATTAATTAAGGTTTTTAGTTGAGATAAAAAAGTCAATGGCACGAGCGGGATTCGAACCCACGATCCTGGCTAGATACGCCGCTGCTCTACCACTTGAGCTATCGTGACCTCCATCCACTCGGACCACTAACTTCCCATCTCAACCCCCTTAATTTGAGCAAATGTATTTATTAGCGTGAACTTTAGCTTATGTTATCGAAAAAAGAGTGTGATGACCGACCGACAACTATTGCACAAAGTATCTGTCTACATGATGCCAAAATGACAAAATTAAGGTTGTTGTTACAGGTGTTAAACAAAAATTGTTTAAGGTCGATTCATGTCTACCAGCACAGAGCGTGTCCAGCACGTAGCGTGGGAGACACAAAAAAATCATTACATACAAAACATATAGGTACGTTCTTATTTAGCGAACGTGAGCGGAGCGTGTCAGTGCTGACACGTATCAGCACCGGGCAGCATTGTCGCCGTGAAGGTTTTGCTTGTGCCGCCACGTTTTTTTGTCTGTGTGATTCAATACGATTCGTATCAATAGACGACACACAAGATTTGTGCAATTCCAATAGCTTAGCTGCCTACCTATAATCAATTCCAGTCTCGGTAAACCTTCATCGTCTTCAAACTCCTTAAAAAGTGCGTGAACTCTCCCTCCTTTTTTCGTTTTACGTTCAACGGATGAACAGCAAACCTCCTTTTCTTTGGTTCCACTTCTGCATATTCCTCATTCTCTTTTTCTTCTAATAACATTGCTACAGCAGCAGTCGAAGTCGAAAAATTTCGAAACATGGTTATTCGTTGGTTTGAATGTGACTGTTGCTGTGATTATCGCATAGTATAAATACTAGTCTCCGTGCCGTGCCTGCCACGCTACGTGCTGGACATGCTCTGTGCTGGTAGATATGAATCGACCTTACGCGGCGAAGCAGTTTTGGTTTACGAATTTTCGAAAGCAACTGACAGACAGAGAGCGTGTCTAGGCGGATCCGAGACATCAAGCTGAAGAAAAATCATTATGACTTGAAGCGTTATTTGATGTATATTTTCTTCAAAACATTGCATAATTTACAAATACATTGTAGGACTTTCGTTGTTTAAGTTTGCTCAAATTATCCTTAACCCGAAATTATTAAATAAACTTGAAGCGTTTCGTCAAGTATTTTTGTGCGAATCTTTCTTCGATCTTGTTGACGGTCAGCCTATTAACTATGCATTTAACTAAGTAACATTTTAGAGCAGTTATTTGTCTCTGTATTTTCCTGAAACTCGGACAAACTTGAAACCGACTTGACATACTTGAAAATTTAGAAATCTACAATTTTGTGTGGGACAAAAAAGAGAATAACCAACAATAACAAGGAAATATCGGAACAATACAAAAACACAGACTTAAACTTTCAAATACATCGACAAAGATAACACTGACCTTTGACACACTTATAAAATGGAAACATGAATCACACAAATCTACCACCGAAGAAGCCGAAACGGTCTAGTAGAACGAAATGACCGGAAACGACCAAACTATACGTTCTTCATCGTCAGACTTCAAGAATCGAAGCTTTAACTCCCTGAGTTCTGTAAAACAGATAGGAGGAGATAGCAATAGAAGAAAAACCGAAAATAACTGCATCGGTTTCGAAATAATCGAATTGGAAAAATCAAGTAGAACAAGTACACTTATTATCGTCAATGCCTAGGCGAATATCATCTAAGATTTTGAGAAGGGCTGTCTCACAACTATGAAATTTTCGGAAGCCAGATTGAAAAGGGGATATGGGAGTCAATAAATAAGGATATTTGTTTAAATAAAATCCCAAAAGCTTTAGACAGTGATGGAAGAATACTAGTAAGGCGGTAGTCACTAACAAGGCGGATTTAGGTTTCTTGGGTAAAGCTCCCTTCCAGCCATATTAATATTCTGCATATAATGGCAGCAATATATATGTAGAAAATGACATATAGAAGGTACAAATTGGTTGGATTCGTAAGGAGCGTTCAAGAATGGGATAGTTTAGAAAAACACTTTTTTTATTTTTTGCCGATGTTTCGAACTTTATTCCGGTCATCTTCAGAGTCTGGGTGAATTTCAAATTATATGTTGATTGGAAAAAATACAATATAAGCTTTGAACCAAGTATTTCATATTCACATAAAGAGTCACACACAGCATTAATTACAGAACAAATTCATGCAAACTCAAATAAACTATTAAATTTTATTTTTATATTAATTCATTTATGTTTTAGTGGTCTAATCGACCAAATTACTCCTTTCAATTAATTATTATTTTTATGTAAGGTCTTGGTTAAGATGAAAAAGTTAGTGTCACGAGCGGGATTCGAACCCACCTCCAGCCGAAGGTCGTGGGTTCGAGTCCCATTCGTGACACCAACTTTTTCATTTCAACCAAGGCCTTACGTAAAAGAATTTATTTTTATATTTCATATAAAAACAGCAGAATACAAATTCACGTTTCACAACAATTTCACACACCAAAACACACCACACGTGAGTATGTTTGGTTCAAACTTTATATTTACATCTGTGTTGAATTTTTTCCAATCAACATATGTTTTGTAATTCGTACAGGCCATAAAGATGACTCGAATAAAGCTCGAAACGTCGGCAAAAAAATGAAAAAATGTGTTTTTCTTGACCGCTCCTGACGAATCCAACAAATTATTAAACAACCGGTCACTAAAAAAAAAACACAGAAAGTACAAAGTTGAATTAACAAAGATGCTTAATTGAATGGAATAAACTGGCGAAATATGGTAACGCAGTAGATTAAGCGAGACTAGACGGACCATGATCAAACCGCGGACTTTTGACGAATCTTGAATTTTGTGTCTATCCTCTTGGTTTGTGTTAATTCCGACAGAATGAGGCCAATGGCGATAACCATTCCAACTGTACTGTACTGAACTACTGATAACAGGGAAACCTAAACAATAGTAGAATGTATGGAAAATCATTTATTTATAAACAGTTATTTAACTAAGTCTAAAAATGTTTAGAAGCGTGGTTTTGAAGTTATGCTTCAAAAATCCCCATAGCCGAAGTTTATGCGGATTTGTAAAACCAGTTTCCAGAGTTCTTCTAAGACCTGTGTCATCGCCGGTGTTCACAGTTAAAAAAAATGACTTTCACGAAAGGAAAATCAACACAAGAATGGAACAGAAGTACAAAACGTTTGATGAAATACCTGAAGATTACACGATCATTTACCGAGCTCCGCTCTTTTGGTATGTGAAAATGACATACACGGTCGCCCTTATTTCCGGTGTCTCCTTGCCGTTTATCGTGATGTACTCTTCCGTACTCTGGGGCCCCCAGGAATTCCCGATATACATGTACGGATTGGTCCTTATGAACAGTATTTCCGAATTCCTGTGCTATTCCGCGGGTTTGTTGGCCATCGCTTGCCAGGTGGGCTTCGTCGTTCACAGGTACCCGTACAGGATATACACCAATAAGGACAGGAGTATATACATAGCCGTGTATCAGCACTTACTCCCTTGGATGAACACCAACTTGTATTTCACAAACAGCGACACCACCAAAGCATACAGTTTCATGCCTTGGAAAGAGAGTGTGTACAGCTTTGGCAAGAGAAAAGCCATTTTAATGGAATCGTATTTCATATCGCCGGTTGAAATGAATCGAATGGTCAACCACATCTATGATAAAGATTGATCTTGTCGTTTAGTTACATACACAATATAGTTCATAGTACAATACTTCTTTTATTTTATTGGCTCCCTTCCCAATTGGGTCATTTCACTTCATCGCACTATTTTTTTATTTTTTTTCATATTAGCCAATGACAATGTTATTGTGTATTTGTTTTTTTTTTTTTAGGGGGGGGAGGGTAAAAAAGGCCAGAGGTGACGGCGGGAATCGAACCCACGACCGCAGGGTCTACGAGCTGAGAGTCTCTCACGATAACCACTCGACTACCGCGGCTCCCATCACACTACTTGATTCTTCCTTTTTTACATAGGGTTTTATCCCATTTGCGATTAGTCATTATTTACACACTTTAAAAAGTGAAATCTACCTTCCTGCCCTTTTGCGGGTCCAGGCCTTCAAATTGAATTCTAGAAGTCCCTGTCATTTCCAGCTGCCTTCCAATTGCGAGTCTATGATATCTTGCATCAATGCTCACACCATCAACCTTGAGCCTTCCAACCTTTCTACTCGTGCCAAGTTTTAAGTCAATTTTTGCCGTCACTTTCCCCTCCTATGTCTTTGCAACAGGACCAGCTTAGCCTTGATATCTTTATTACCTTTACAACCTTCACTTCTATGTACAGGTTGTAACTTCTCCTTATTTGATTTTTTTTGCCATCTTTGAAGAATTTCCCATTTGAAAATGGAAAGATTCTTTTCTATCGATGGTCCAATGATTTTTGTGTTCCTGGATATCAAACTGCTTTACAAACAGAAATAATAAATAATAAAATTTTATCACATAAAACCCCCAAATACAATTGTATATTAGTAGTGTATAATAATTGTATAATAGTGAGAAAAAAAGACAGATCGTACTCTTGGTCATTAGTCTGTTGTTATTTTATTATTATTATTTTTGTTTAAAGATTAAACATTAAAAAGTGATACATACTTCCCTGTCCTTCAGGTTATACTTGAACATAATTTACATTGGCCTGTGACTATACTGAGAGGTAAAAAAAATGGCCACCCTTAATATTTTTAATTATCTCTTAGACAATTATCCATTGATTATCTTACAACAATATTTTGTTAGACTTAAGACTTATTAGGGTAAATCAAAATCATAAATTCTTGAATTTGTGTTTATGATTGGATTTTGTAAATAAATTTTTGAATAGTCAATCTCTTCTTTGTCGGTTTTTCTTTAAAGTTTCTTTCTAATGTTCCAGTGGTAAGTTTCAAAATTTTTTTGTGATGGTTTTAAGTGATATAGATTAAGCTAGTATGGTAGCATTGTTGGAAGATGGAAAAATTCAGAAGCTGGATTACGTTGACAAGGCCTGTCACTAGTCCAGAACTTTTGACAAGGCACAGAACAGCTTGGTTAAGTTTTGCAAGTAATCATATCAAATGGTCTGAGTAAGATCTTGTTTTCAGTTGAGTCAAGGTTTTGTTTGAGCTGACGGCCAAGACATGGTTTGGAGAAGAAGGGGGGCAATATATCCCTGCAACATTTTCACTCTGGAGAAGCTATGGAGGTGGTGGTGATATGGTTTTGAAACATCGCACAAACTTGATCTTCATCGAGGGTTTCCAAAAGCATTACATTGAAGATTTGTTATCGGAAATTGTTCTTAATATGCCACTAATTGACGACAGTTTTATTTTTATGTGTGACAAGGCCCCACACAGCTAGGATCATTGGTGAGTATTGGAACGGGCTTCAATTCAATGTTTGGAGTGGCCGACATTCATCCTGACATAAACCCAAACGAACAACTTTGGGACGAGTTGTCAAAGAGGGTAAAAAGTCGCCAAGTAATGGCAGATAATTTGCAGGAATTAGGAATGTCGGTTTTGGAGGAGTATGAAAATATTCCACAGCATATTCAAAATCTCACAAAATGGAGGCTGCATCGAATGCAAGAAGTGATCGACGCAAGAGGAGGACTTAATTTAATATTTTCTTCATTATTTACAGATCGTGAGAGGCGATCTGGTGTGATGTAGGTTTAGAAAAAAACATTTTATCGTGCCAACATTTTGATCTTTATTGAGACCATCGCCAGGGCCTGGGATTTATAAACACTGTTTAAATTATACAAATACAGAGATATGAATATGAATTTATACAATGATGTACACAACATAGAAATTTTAGGTTTATTCAAAGTATTTATACTCACTTGAAGTGTTTTCTGTGTAGATGTGTCAGTGTTGTGTGTCGTATTGAGAGTGTTATTACAAACAAAAATCATTACTATCTCACTAAACTCTCAACACGACACAACAATGACATATCTACACAGAAAACACACTTTAAGTGAGTACAAATACTTTGAATAAACCTAAAATTTCTATGTTGTGTACATCATTGTATAAATTCATATTCACATCTACTTGTCTTTGTATAATTTAAACAATATTTCAATTAATTAAGGTTTTTAGTTGAGATAAAAAAGTCAATGGCACGAGCGGGATTCGAACCCATGACCTTCGGCTTGATACGCCGCTGCTCTACCACTTGAGCTATCGTGACCTCAATCCACTCGGACACTAACTTCCCATCTCAACCCCACCTTTTGAATTTTTCCCTCCTTTTTGCCATTTTTCATGAAATTTCATTGAAAATTCAAAAGGTGGGGTTGAGATGGGAAGTTAGTGTCTGAGTGGATCGAGGACCGAGGTCACGATAGCTCAAATGGTAGAGCAGCGGCATATCTAGCCGAAGATCGTGGGTTCAAATCCCGCTCGTGCCATTGACTTTTTTATCTCAACTAAAAACCTTAATTATTTTTAATATATTAATTGGTCAAGCTGACCACAAAATTAGTGAATTTAAACAATATTTATAAGTCCCAGGCTTTGAAAATGATCTCAACAAACATCGAAACATTGGCATGATAAAGAAAATGCTTTTCTGAACCTACATCACACCAAACCACATCTCATGATCTCTAAAAATCATTAATTAACTGTCACTAAATATTACACATTTTCTTTATTGTTTCCACAGCAACATTTTTGTTAAAATTGTTTCACTCAGTTTAATTTATTTAGGTATATGTTATATTTTACTTTAAAAATAAACAGTAAACAACACAAAATAAAAATTATAACGATTGCAAGTATTTACTAAAAAAATTAAAAAAGGAAAAGAAATCGAGGGTTTTTGCCTCTTTAGCGTATACAAAAACCATGCTAATAATAAGAGTTTCCTAACTATTCCGACTTAAATTCAACATTTTGAATCCCCCCCCCCCAAAAAAAAAAAAAAAAAAATTGTACTGATATTTCATAAATATTATATTCAGCAAATGAGCAGTCGGTTGGCAATTTGACATGACGGTCGTTATCCGTTTGAATTTCCTAATCCCTTTAATAGTTTATTTTTCAATTTGATATCCAAAGAACTTTATTTATGTAAATCATCATAAAATTATAAATTTAAGCATAATTAAAAACAGAAATTTTTTACCACACATGGCAGATAGATTTTATTTTTTTTATTGACTTTTCTAACGCCTTGTCAAATATGGTATACTAATTGGAGTAATTTTTTTTGTGTTTTGCCATGAAGGTATCCCCTACGCCAGTTTGGTTGTATTTATTTTTTATAATTATTTATGAGTTTTTGTTTGTTCATTTATTATTTAAATCGTATTAAGATGTCATTTAGGTTAGCCATCTACTAAAATAACGTCTATCTGCCGATGTGGAGTAAAAGATTTATGTTTCTAATTATGTTTATGTTTAAATTTATTGTTTTATGTTGATTTATATAAAGTCCTTTGAAAATCAAATTGAAAAATAAACTAGTGGAGGGATTTGAAAATTTAAACGGATAGCGAGCGCGGACTGTCCTTCCATTGTGCCAAATTGCTAACCAACTGATCCTTTGCTGAATGTAATATTTTATGAAATAGTAAAAAAAAAATTTTGTGTGGAGGGGGGAAATTAAATTGAAAATTGTTGAATTTAATACGATTGTACATTTTTGAAAATGTGCAATGCTGACTTTGATCAAGATCGATTTGACGGTCTTTCCTTCGATCCGGCGCGGGCGAGGAGTCCGCCCGAGGCCTGACGTTTGAACGGTTACCCATTTCGACGCAAGTACGTTACGAGAAGCCGACGTTCGGGACGACTCGCGTACAACCGGCTAACACCAATTTAAATTAATCATCGCATTTTGTCACGCATTTTACGCATCTCGTCCAAAATCAAACACCCGCGATGGCCAACGATAAAGGAGGAATCGACGAAATCACAAAACTCCTCGGCAGCACTAACCTTCCCCCGAGCGGAGTCTCTTTTTCAAATCGCTCTCTGAAAATAAACACAGCAGATGACGGTTAGTATAAAACAAGAATTTTAATTTGTTTACTGATGACGATGAGGGGTGGATGGGTATCATCATATAGAACAGAAAAAGTGGACGTTCCGCCCTCTTCCGACGTTTGACACACACGTGTCTTAACGACCCTTGTTTTGTTAAAAACAAAAAAACTTACAATATTTTTTCCATCCTGTTGCGAAGTTTTTATTTTCTGTTTTTTAATGCAGAATAACGGCAGTTTATTACAAAAGAAATCAAATTCAGCCCTTTTTGCACCACGACTAGTCTTAAGGAGATAAAACAATCACCCCCTGCTGGTTAGCATTGATGGTTATTATTGACTAAACATAAATCTTCTTGCATGTGTGGGTGTAAGGTGTCTATTTGTTTCTGACACGCACTATTTTCCATTTTTACAATTTCTCTTCCTATCTACAGATTCATGGTAATTTTGGTGGCTACCAAAGATTTATGTAGATTTCAGAAAGGAAAATCCTGTGAATCAGCACCACCAATAGAGGATTCACTGAACAACCAAAAAATTGCATTAGGAACATTCTTGGACATTGAAGATGCATTAGACAATACTCCTTTTGATGCAATGGTTACATCATTCAAACAGCGAGGAACGCAAAACCTGCTGCGATTGGATAGAATCAATGCTGAAAAGCAGAAAAGTGCAGGCCTCCATGTACAGGAGAATTTTCTCGCCTCTGCTGTGAAATGTGGTAGTGGATGACCTCATATACAAACTAAATGAAAACAAAATCTATACCCAAGACTATGTAGATGACATTGTCTTACTAAACAGAGGAAAATTCGGTTCAACATTAAAAGAGCTCACCCAAAGAGCACATGAGCACATGATAGAACAATGGTGTTCACGACGGGGACTTAAAGCAAACCCCTCAAAACTAACCCTATTTGCTTTCACCGAGAAAAGAAACATAGAAGTACAAAGCTTACATTTCTATAATGAAATGCTAAAAATGAGGTTAATTATCAAGGAATAATCTTTGATAAACTAATCTGGAACAATGGTTACGTTTCTCAAACAGCGAGGAACTGACGAAACCTGCTGCAGATGGATAGCGTCAATGGTAAAAAGCAGAAAAGTGCAGGCTTCCATGTTCCATGAAAAATTAGAAGCAGCGGTGGCGAGAGGTAGTTCACAAGGAAGAATATTTTTCTTCCAGCAAAAAGTAAAAGCTAATGGCCTCAAGAAGAACCCTAGGCAAATCTTGGGGATTAAAACTAAAAAACCAAAGCTCAACAAAAAGTAGCTGCTCATTTCGTAGCATACAAAGGTTAGCAAACCTCACAGGGGAATGAGAACAACCCGTTAAGATACTCTAAGGTACAAGCATGTATTTCTGCTTGAAAGACCGAAGGGTACTTCCCTAATGAGTTTGATTGCTCATGTCTTGGGCTTATACAGAATATACCCGGTCCAGTTTATGAGCTTTTCGTAGCCTCTCCTTCTTTGAATGTTTCCAGTAGAGGTAGATCTAGCAGTTTCTAGTGCACTTGTCCCTACAACATTCAAACTAGGAGAGGCTATGAAAAGCTCATGAACTGGATTGGGCATATTCTGTACAAGCCCAAGACGAGCAATCAAACTCATTAGGGAAGTACACTTCAGTCTTTAAAGCAGAAATACATGCCATCAATGCATGTGCCTTAGAAAATCTTAAACGAGGTTACACTGGCAGAAAAATTCTCATAAGATCTGTTAGCCAAGCAGCTATTAAAGCATTAGCATGTAAAAAAAATCACATCAAAATTAGTCAGTGAATGCATCCAAAATTTCCAAAACCTGGGGACAACCTGATGATAGGGAACTAGCAAAGTACAATAAGCCAGAAGGCTGCTGTGCCTGGGGAGCGCAAACCCTGCTTTCTAGTATCCTCATCATACCATACCAATATATAAAATCTTTATTTGCCTGGGATACTGCCATTGTGACCTGCTCTTTTAATGCTAAATTCTCTTATGTTACACCGAGGTACACAATATTCTGACAGTGATCTGCCTACATTCACACCAACACTTGCTCCTAACGTATGATTTTATTATTACTCATCATCTTCGTCTGCCTATCCTTGCGTTGTTCTCGGTACTGAATCAGTTATGGTGTATGTTTGATTTCCTGATTTCCTGGTTTGAGCAACCTAAGTGCAACTTCGGCTGCATAATGAGCTGCAAGCATTGCATCAGCCTTTCGGCCTGTCACTTTGTTTTCCGAGGTAGCTCCCAGAACGACAGTATGTGCAACAACAGCAATAAAGCCATCCACATGTGCGCCAAGGTCTACTTTGACGACATCACCATCCTTTAAAATTAAGTCTGGTTCACTCGATAGGGGTGAGAAATGGCAAATGCAATTGTTTACAGAAACACAAGTGGGAAATGCTATTCCTTTACCTTTCCTGAGTTCTTTTTCTTTCTTAAAAATCTTATTTGTTTCTTCTGTAAGTAAGCTATCACCAAATTCACAAATTTGTAAAACTGAAGCTCCAGAAACACATTTCTCTATCACCTTTTTCAATACACGGTTGACGATGTCGCCTGCCATTTTATACTTGGTGACGACCAAATCTTCAACGATCGTCTTTTCCGAATCGTCCTTGTCCGCCATCTTTCGTCCGGGTTGGCTCAAAGATAGAAATCCCGTCCGACAGGCCAAAGCCAACTCACTTGTTCTCGGTACATTTAGTATGTTGTGTTCTTTTGAAGGTCTCACTATTACCAGATCCCCATGCAGTGGACATTTATATCTTGTTTTATCTCACTCCCCCAAATTCTCAGTGGGCCATGGCCTCACCGTTTCTTTGTATTATACTTTTAATTTCACATTCGTCTTGAACCTGCAGGCCTGGTATTCATAGAAGATAAAATTCCTAATTTTTCTGCCATGCTGATCGGGGTCCTGGGACCTTCAATTTTTGTACCATGATGAGTTTTAAGAAGTGAAAAATACTTCTAATGAATATTGAACAACAGCAAACTGTATTTCAAAATTTAATATACGCTTTGGCTTTCAATGATTTGTAACATTTCAATGATTCAGTCCTCATGACCTTAAGCCTTCAATCATTCAATTCCTCTCGTATTTCAATGAGTAAGACATTTTAAACCTTTCTGCACCCTCAGGGCAAAACTGGATATGCCTCTTTAGGCCTGACAGACTGCATAATTGAATAAGTCAAAACCACTTCCTTTTAAATGCAAAACCTTGAAACGTTTTGACAATGTGTGGTGGTTAGTGACCGTTAATCGATAATTATTCAGAAATTGTGAGAACCAACCAGACCGCATCTCACGATTTCTGAATAATTATTTTGACAATGCTACTTGTACCAAAGGTTTAAACTTTAAAATTGCAATTCTGAAAAGTTTTACTAATCCACTTGAGAACGCAGATTAGCCTTAAAAAAAGTTAGAATTGATGTATAATTTTCAATGATCTTACCCACTTTCGTCATTCTACACCACCGACTTACTTTGATTTTCATTATTCTTTTTTTAACAGCGAAAGAAATCATCACTGCTATGGAAAATTGTGGGGACTGTCTGGAATTTCTTAATCTAGAAGGGAACACCCTTGGCATCGAGGGTGCTAATGCCGTGGCAGAACAGTTAAAAAAACACAGTAAAATTAAAAAGGCGTTATGGCGAGATATGTTCACTGGAAGGAGCAAAAAGGAAATCCCAGTTGCCCTTGTAAGATACTCGTTAATTTTTTTTCTAAGTTGGCTATTTTAATGTTTTTATAAAAAATTAAAGGATGCGTTGAGCAAAGCGCTCATGACAGCAAAAGCCGAACTCGAAGTCCTTGAACTCTCTGATAATGCTTCTGGACCAATTGGCGTAGATGGCATTAAACATCTAATTTCAAGTCCTACTTGTTTTACATTAAAGGAATTAAGGTTGAACAACATGGGTTTAGGGACAACAGGTGGAAAGGTGAAATTTTAACCTTATCAATTTTTGTGTGCGTTACATCTATTAATGATGTTTCCTTATTTAGATGCTTGCCTCAGCTTTAATGGAGTGCTACAACAAAAGTGTTACTGCCGGGAAACCCCTAGCGTTGAAAGTCTTTATTGCTGGACGGAACCGATTAGAAAATGAAGGTTCTAAAGCTTTAGCAAACGTTTTTAAGGTAATTTGCATTATTAATCGTTTTTCTTCCTAGATAATTTATGATTTTTTTTCAGGTGATAGGAACCCTTGAAGAAGTACAGATGCCTCAGAACGGTATAAATGCAGCGACTGAATTGCTAGAAGCACTATCCACAAATCCGAACCTAAGATATCTCAATTTGAACGACAATACTCTGGGAAAATGTATTCCAGCACTTACTTCACTCCTGTCTAAATTGTCCAACTTGGTTCATTTAGATGTTGGAGACTGCCTTTTAAGAAACGACGGTGCATTGAAATTAGCAGCTGCTTTTAAGAACAATCATCAACAAATCGAGGTGAATTACTGAAAGTTAAAGTTAAAATTATTCCATATCTAAATTAAACTTGATTTCAGGAAGTTTGTCTATCTGGCAATGAAATAAAATCTGATGGTGGAATGGCTATTTTCAATTCATTGATTGGAAAACCTAAAATTAGGTCTATCAAATTGAACGAAAACGAAATTGGAGATTACGTTGTTAAGTTGATCGAAGCAGAGGCTAGAAAACACAATAAACAAGATGTTGTTGACGTAAGGTATTGTTCATCCAAAAGCTTTACATCATTCTTAAAAGATAAAAATTATAATCTTAATACAGTGACAATACGGGAGATGAAGATGATGAAGATGAAGATAACGATTATGAAGACGAAGGTGAAGATAATAGTAAAACCGATGAAGCTGATTATTGCGATGAAGACTACGAAGAAACTGAAGAGGAAGAAGAAGAGGAAAGCGAAGATGAAAATTATAATGCAGATTATGGCAGTTACGATGAAAATTACGAGGAAGAAAATTTCGCTGTTAAAGAAGATTACACATCTCCTTTAAGAAGAAAGCTATTTACCGAACAGCAAGTAAGAAATGAAATAAGATATAAGAAACAAGTTAAAACAATTTTTGTGTATGTGTTTGATTGTTATAAAAGCAAATACCGACCCTGTCTATACTACAATATATTCTTACTTCTCATAAGCAGATACCACTCAGGATATTGTTCGCTTATTAGAGTTGATAGGATTTAAAAAAAAAAAAAAAAAAGTTTAAAATCCAACAAGATAGAATGCGATCTGAGATACAGAGATTTGGCGATCTAGTTGTATTATATTATTTTGTACCAACCCCATCAGACAGAATATGATCTGAGATACAGAGATATGAGATGCTACATGCTATGATCTGGCGATCTAGCTGTATCAACTGTGTCAGACAGAATGTGATTTATCGCTTCTGGCATTTTGTTGTAATGACAGCGATCTGGTTAAGGAGACCCGGACAAAGTGTTGCAGGTCAATCTAGCCAAAAAAATGTTATTGGCTTAAAAAACTTTTCTCGATAACGTGGTCCAAGAATTTTTAAAATTAGATCACTATAAGTTAATTTAAAAAAATTCTTGAATTAAGAATTCCTATTTCAGGAGCAAGCGCCATTTGTATATACACCGGCCACTACCTCTTTCCATGGTGTATTTTCATAATAAATGGGGAAAATACCAAGAAAAGACCCAAAACAATTAGGTTTCAGAAAGGTTTATTGTAGTAGATAGGAAATGTGAAATATCGAAAAAAACATCACTTTTGTGGGAACTACGTCAGAAACACAGCTGCCCTGAAAAGTAAGGTTTTGATACAAAAGGGACAAAATCTGCCAACCTGTTTAAGATGTGTGTTTCAAAATTTTTATGTGGTAAAATAAAAGGTCTTTAAACACTTCTATGTGAGCTTTTCAGAAAATAACAATTTCATTTGGAAAAATAAATTCTTAAATATTAGAAAAATGTGTTTGAAAGTTTTCTTGCTGTAGATTTTTTTCCTTAGAAAAGTTTCAAAAAAGCTCGTGTTGAACTTGAGGGTAATAATGGAGAAATGTGTACCAAATTTCATCAAAAATAGTTCAGAAGTTACTGAAAAAATGTCGCTTTTAGATTACTTACACCTTCCACCTCCCTCCAACCTGGTAAATTACTACCCGCAACCCTTTTTCCGGGTCTCCTTAAACAAAATCAGATTTTTCACATGATCGGTTTTTGTTCTTTAGCATTACAAATTTTGTTTTTTCATTGTTAAAATGAACGATCAAACAGAACAGTATCATCAAGTAATTAAAAAGTAATTAAATTAAGCAATTAGTATTTTTCAAATGTGTAACGTTCTATGTGATGGCCCCGTATTGCAGACTGCCACGACAGCCTCTGTATTGCTTCTGACCATGAAAGATCATTTTTGATATTTTCTCTAAGGATTTTTTTCTTCTGCATTTATCTCTGAATCAGAGTGCTACCACAATTTTAGAACCGAGTAACTAAACAGAGAATTGACCTGGGATCGTTAAAGGTTAAGCTCCAAAAAGTGGGAGTTTCAGAATGACGTCAGTATATGAGGAAGGGTCTATTGCACTTTTCCAGAATAATGCCCATAAAGTGTTCATTTGTGGTAGTTTAGTTATAATCTATTTAAAAAAAAATTATGTAATCCTGTTCCAGGAGTTGAACTTAGACGAGTTAGTGATGGATTCTATACTTACTCCTGATAAATTTGATGAAATAATCAACAAAATTAGGGTTTGTATTATGCAGTACCCTTCAGATCACATGCTTAAAAAATTTTTAATTTTAATTTCAATAGTTCCAGGCTGATTGTGATAAACAGTTAGAATCTTTGTTAAGAATTATCATGTTGATATCTACCCATTACAAATCTGCGAGTGAAGAAAAGAAACTAGCGATAGAAGAATATGCTATGAAATTTTATGAAGAATTATTCTTGTTGGGCGAAGCATATAACAAAATAAGTAATATTAATAACTTATTACCAGCTTATTTTGGAATTATTAAGGTGAGCACTAGAATATTAATTTTTCATGTTTATTGTCCAAATTTTAATTTATTGCTATAAACTTTTTTTTTTTCTTAAAATTTTCTTTGTTATTGTTTCAGACTGAAGACAAAAAGCCACTGGTGAAATTTTTCGACTGTGATTCTAGTTTGAAACTATTGAAAAGCGCCATGGGGAAAGATTTCTTCCACGCTTCAACGAAATATGTATTAAACTTCATATTTGAACAGAAAGAATTAACAAAATGATTTGTTTTGTCAATTAAAAAAGATTGTAAATATTAGTTTTAATATCAATTTAATTTATTCTCAATATATTCTATTTGTACATTGTTTAACTTCTCTGATGTGTGTATATTAGTCGATTGTAAACATCACTGATCTATTTTACAATTTTAAAAAAAGCTTATATCGGTAAAATAAAAATTTATGCTTTGCCACTATCCAAACCCCACAAAAATTGATAATTGAAACGTTTTTTAATGTATAATAAATATTTGCAATTAAAAAAATAAATAAAAAATCTACCTTACTAATCAATCATCCTACAGGACAAATCATATTTGTTACTTGAAATCTGCACATAGGGTAAAATTTATTGTGTTAGGCCAATTGTTTTGACACAAGAATAGTTTTTTGTCTGGATATATACATTTTTTGCTTCGTCATTTTCAAGTAATTAGGTTAGAGTTAGGGAGAATTTAGGTTAGGTAGGGTTAGTGATAGGGACTTTCAAATAGAAATGATGAATGGAGCGAGTGCGGTGTTCAATCTTTTTTAAAAAGATAGTTCCTACTTACCAGTTGTTGCAAAACTATCTTTTAAAAAAGGATGGGACAAATGGCAGCTGCTTTGGACAGTAGCACTGTAATATAATACCACAAATTTAAATGTTAAATAAATTGGTACTTGGTTGAAGAAACCGGATGGATTTATTCTGAAAACATTGTCCGGAAATAGGTTTTTTTCCAAATAACTTGAGAATGGTTGCTATAAATTAGACATTTGAACCACTGAATCTAGTGTCAGAAAACCTTTCAAAGAATGTACATTGATGAGTATTTTGCCATTTGGAGTAGTTAAACTCCAATTTGTATCTCGTACATTGGAGTTAGATCAAAACTTTTGGCTCAGGAGAAACTAGACAAAAAATAAAGGGAGGGCAGAAATTAAACTTGCCCCAGCAGATATTCTCAGGTTCCTCAGTTGGTGGTCACTGCACCAAAAAAATTTATAGAGGTGAAGCGTTAAAAAAGAAACACTTTAAAGAATCTATTAATTTTAATTAGATAAAAATTGCATATACATATAGTTATTTTTGAAAAAATATTCATTTAGATTTTATACAGTTAAAAGTGTGGTAACATTTCATTGCATGGAGCTACTAAAAATAAACTTTTCGCTCATTAATATAAATATGTATGTTCTTAAAACTCTATACAAGTCACGAGATCGATCCTTACATTTTTACAGACTAAAACAATATATTTGTTTAATTAATTTTGTTGCTCTTCTTTTTTTCCCCTTATGGATGTTTAATTTTTTTTTGTCCATCTGGTTAAAGAAATTGTTGAAATTTTAGCACCCTGTATTTCTTTTGTGCTTTATATTTGCCGTTTTTTAAAATATATTTTAAATTGTATTAAAATTGTTTTTGTATTGTAAGCTAAATAAATAAACCAATTATTGCCAAATGGCGTTGAAATGTTGTACATTTGATTTTTTTTTTAAAACCTAAAAAAATATTGTGATATGTATATATCTTATTAAAGGTTTATAAGTGTTTAGTAGGCAAATTTTACATAATGCAGATATTGAAAAATGACTACATCCTAAGAATGGTGTAATAATGTACAAATTCATTACATAATAAAAGAAAATAAAAAAATTGTATTTTTGTTTAATATTATTAAGTCTCAAGCTTCTCAAGTGTAGACTGTGATGATCTCTGAAATTTCAGCACGACATATCGGGCACTCGCCTGTCTCAGTCCCAATGATGTAAGCGCACGATCTACACATGCACAAATGTTTGCAATTGAGTAGCATTGTGTTTCTTTTACGGTCTAAGCACACAACGCACAACCTTTCGGCCTTTTCCCTTTCGAGTTCTATTTTAAGAGCGGCTTTCGTCGGAGTCTTCAATATGACAGTGGTGACTGTCAGACCGAGGAACGCCTTACCATACTGGTACACGTCCTTGACGAACCTCATCGTCTTGTCCATCGTGACTAGCATGAACAGGGCGATGCGCAGTACTGAAAATATACAGAAATATTTTGTCTTTTTCAGGACGGCTATGAAGAAGAGGTTGCAATCTGTGAGAAGGTCCGGATTAGCCTTGTATGTAAAATAGACCACCGATGAGAGCACGACGAGGCCGCTGAGAGCCTCGTAAGGCAGCTCGTAAACTTTGTAAAACAGAGCGTCGAACCATTTGGCAATGAATATTACAGCGATGTAGGGTGCTTCGTTGATGTAGAGGAATATCGAGACGATGAAGTTGCAGAAGCTCCAGACGCAGTAGCCGATTAAAAGAAGGGCGTCTTTCACGAGGAGTACGTGGTTACCTACTTGGCCCAAGCCTGACTGCATTGTGCTGTAGACGTACGACTCATCAATCAAAGCATTCCTTAGAAAAGCCCAACCGTCTGTGACCAGGGCCGGCACCTGGGTCGTGTAGTAAACACAGCACTCGGCTAAATAAGACAAAAGGTCTAAGAAATCAGTCAAAAGGTAGTAGAGATCCGCGAGGAAATGGCCGAAGTCTTCGACGAGCACCTGAACCGCCAATAAAAGGCTGAAGAATGCGTTTGTCGAAAATTCGACCACGGAGCGTATCCCGTAGAACAAGATCGATCCGAGGTAATGACAGACCTGGTAGACGGATGTGACTAGATAAACCGTGAAGTTGATCAATTTCAGGAACGGTGTTGCTGCCGTGTAAAAGAGTTGCATTTCTCCTTGAACATCGTTTCACTTGGGGAGACGTTAATCCTCGTTGGGATACGGGCCGCGTACGAGCTTCAGAACCTCCCTGGTTTGAAAGATGCGGAGCGAGCCAAAAGCTAGTCCCTAGTTCCACTCACGGCCACCAGAACGACACCTGAATTTTCAAACAATTTTCAAATTTTTCCTCGCCAATTAAACATCCAAAATGTAACACATGTATTTTTTCCTATTTTATACTCAGCTTCGAAAAACGAGATATTTTCTATAAATAAACTGCTCAAAAATGGATATTTATAATTTATTCTTATTCTATTAACAATTCAATTAACCGATATATTCTAGTGTTGGATAAAATAAATAGAAAATACAAACTAAAAACACAAATTTGTTGAAGTCTTGAGGAGTGGTCAAAAATGAGGTAGTTTAGCAAAATACCTTATTTATTTTTTCGACGTTTTATTCTTTAACACGTACGCGGTCCGTGTCCCAACGAGGATTAACGTCTCCCCAAGTGAAACGATGTTAAAGGAGAAATGCAACTCTTTTACACGGCAGCAACCGTTTCTAAAATTGATCAACTTCACGGTTTATCTTTTAGTGACTGATAAGAGCTTGACGAGTTTCGAGGTATGAGTGAGACCTCGTCTGGTTGACGAGTCCCGAGTATGAGCGAGACCTCGTCTGGTTGACGAGTCCCGAGGTGTGAGCGAGACCTCGTCTGGTTGACGAGTCCCGAGTATGAGCGAGACCTCGTCTGGTTGACGAGTCCCGAGGTATGAGTGAGACCTCGTCTGGTTGACAAGTCTCGAGGTATGAGTGAGACCTCGTCAGGTTGACGAGTCTCGAGGTATGAGCGAGACCTCGTCTGGTTGATGAGTCCCGAGGTATGAGTAAGACCTGGTCGGGTTGACGAATCTCGAGGTATGAGTGCGACCTGGTCGGGCTGACGAGTCTCGAGATATGAGTAACACCTCGTCGGGTTGACGAGTTTCGAGGTATGAGTGAAACCTGGTCGGGTTGACGGGTCTCGAGGCATGAGTGAGACCTCTTCTGGTTGACGAGTCCCGAGGTATGAGTGAGACCTCGTCTGGTTGAGTAGTCTCGAGGTATGAGTGAGACCTCGTCGGGTTGACGAGTTTCGAGGTATGAGTAAGACCTGATCGGGTTGACAGGTCTCGAGGTATGATCGAGACCTGGTCGGGTTGACGAATCTCGAGGTATGAGTGCGACCTGGTCGGGTTGACGAGTCTCGAGGTATGAGTGAGACTTCGTCGTGCTGACGAGTCTGAAGTCAATATGGCCGTGCCCCTGCTTATAAAAGCACTGGCTCTGCACTGATTTGCTGCAGAATGGAGAGCGAGATTATCCCAGAACCGGGAATGTCAACTAATGGGTGCCGTGGTACGAGGGCCGTTCCGAGAGACTGGGAGTGCTAATAGAAAACCTGGTAGTGGATCTCAGCGCATCATGACACTAAGGGAGGAAAGAAATATTGTGATTGCTGCAAGACGGAACCTTTCCATAGTGCCCACCAGATCCTAAATGAAGTACAAGATGTTTTGGCAAGGCCTTTATCAACGATTACCAATCGTTTGAGGGCAGTTGGCCTCACATCATTTGCACTATGAGACGACTTGCAGCAACAATCCGCCACCAGCAACTAAGGAGAATATGGTGCATGTATGTCTCCCATTGGGGGTCGCAATGTCTTTAGACAATGAGGTTCTTTAACGTGCGCACCTGGCACATAGGCCTTATCACACGTTTAGTTTCTCAACTTAGGAGTGACTCACCTCCGCTCAAAGTAGGTAGGGTGAATCCAGTGTGGTTCGGTGTAGAACCACCAGATCCTAATCAAACGGGCTGACTTCTACCGCTTGCCCCGTCCGAAGGGGTGGGTTAACATTGTGTATTCAACCGTCCCGCGCGTCCCTCCCAGAGTGTTAGGGCTTCGCCAGCGTCGAAACATCCGGATCCGCTCCGGCAGCGGTTTCGTTTAAAGTGGAATTTCTAACCTCCCCCCAGAGGAACCTGCCTTCGGTAAAGGAAGAACCCTAACCATCCCAGAATATAGTGCAGCGAGCGCCTAGAAGAGAACACCAATTGGAATGCTGTTATGTTTCCTGATGAGTCGCGTTTCTGTCTGTATAGTGATAGCAGGTGCCGAAGAGTTTACCTTAAACAAGGGATGCGTGTCCCAGTTCGTGCTACCTTCAGCGTAGTTTGGAGGAGGCGGTGTAATACTCTGGGCTGGGATTTACACTGGAGGACCAACTGGACTCCATATTGTTGAAGGCAACCGCGGTTCGTTATATCCAAGAAATTATTGTGGAATACATCCCTCGAACCTGGGATCCCATTGGCAGGGATGACACTGTCCGACCTCTTAGAAGCTATAGTTGTTCATCAGTGATCAGAAAACCTGGGAATTTCCCATCTGCCCCTTTCCCCATAGTCTTCAGACCTCCCATTGAGCACATGTAGGATGCGTTGCACAGAAGGCTTGTCGATCACCGCCACAACTGAGTGTAGCGTTGCAACATCTCTTTTATTCCTTATGAAATTAGTGACAATCTTATTAACTGTATGACTAACAGGTGCACAGAGGTTTTAGCTAACAAGAGGTCTTTCATACACGGTATTGATTGTCTAAAAAAAATTATTAGCCTAATAAACAAAATTATGGAATTAAAACCTTTTATTTTGTTATTTTTCAAAATCCCTTAATTAAATTTTCCTTCAGTAAAAATCATAGTAATTTCTAATAAATTTTAATTAAATTTATAATAAAAATAAAATAAAAATGCTAGGGACCGACAAAAAGTGAAAAGAAAGGAAACAAAAGAAAAAGCGCATTAAAAACTGTAAGTTTAAGGATTTCAGAGGAGATATTTTATGCACACGACTCAGTCCTGCTGCAAATATTAGTAAAAAGGCCAATTTTGGTCTGGGAAGAGTAATGGATGTTTTTTTTGACGATTTGACGGCTAAACAACATCTCAGGAACTCGGAGAAATGTTTAATATATCATACATATTTAGTTCCACATAGAATTGCACTTGACCTCTTCTCACAGCCATTTATAGTCATTTCTCACCCTTAATTACAGGGGTCGGGGTAATTTTGCATAAAAAGCTTATTGTCTCCCGGCACCGCCAGTCCCAAAAGCACAAATTCACTAAAAAAATTCTGTGTATCTACTAGAGGCAGTAGCGGACCCGAGTGAATTTACATGACTGTGAATTTATGATAATGCTAAGCCCCTTGTTGCAGTAGGGCTAGGAGAAGAATTAAATACAATTAATTTCTACTAATGAATATATAAATTTTCAAATTTATTTATTTAAAGATGAGATGATGGATCGACCTGCTGCCAATCTACGTGGAAAAAGGATCTTAGTTGAGGTCACAACGGAACGTCCGTTATAACCTAACTTTTTGCAAATGATTTAAAAATGTGCCTAAAAATTCTGACTACTGACAACTTCAATATGCCTCAGTAAAATTTCAACTAATAATATTCTTTTGAACTCTGAAAAATCTTTCAATTAATTAAGGTTTTTAGTTGAGATAAAAAAGCCAGTGTCCCGAGCGGGATTCGAACCCACGACCTTCGGCTCAATACGCCGCTACTCTACCACTTGAGCTATCATGACTTCGATCCACTCGGACACTAACTTCACACTTTGAAAAATGGCAAAAAGGAGGGAAAATTCAAAAAGTTGGGGTTGAGGTGGGAAGTTAGTGTCCTAGTGGATCGAGGTCAGATAGCTCAAGTGGTAGAGTAGCGGCGTATCTAGCTGATGGTCGTGGGTTCGAATACCCCTCGTGACACTTTTTATCTCAACTGAAAACCTTCATTAATTGAAATATATAAATTACATGGAAAACATTTCTTGGGTGAGATCACAACGGAACGACCATTCTTTTGGTATTTGCCGAGCTTTCGACGATCATGTCGTCATCATCAAGGCCTGTTTATTATGAGAAAACACAGCAGTAAGAAATATTGTACAATTTAGAAACAAAATTAAAAACAATTATATTATCTTACTCTAAATCGATGTATATGTATGTATCGAATAAAGAAAGATAATAGAATAAGTTAGAGTAAGATAATATAATTGTTTTTAATTTCGTATCTAAATTGTACAATATTTCTACTGCTGTTTTCCCATAATAAACAGGCCTTGATGATGACGATATAATCGTCGAAAGCTCGGCAAAAACCGAAAGAATTGTCGTTCCGTTGTGATCTCACCCAAGATACTTTTTCCACGTAATTTATATATTTCAATTAATAAAGGTTTTTAGTTGAGAAAAAAGTCAGTGTCACGAACGGGATTCGAACCAACGACCTTCGGCTCAATAAGCCGCTACCATATCACTTGAGCTGTCGTGACTTCGATCCACTCGGACACTAACTTCACACCTTGAAAAATGGCAAAAAGGAGGGAAAATTCAAAAGGTGGGAAGTTAGTGTCCTAGTGTCACGATAGATCAAGTGGTAGAGTAGCGGCTTATTACGACGTATTAAACTACCTTCTGGACTATTCTCTGTAGACTATGGACATTGTGTAAGAATAGCAGAAATAGCTCGCACGACGGAACTAATGGAGGGTGGAAATTTAGCTTTAGGAATATGGAAAATATAGGATTTCCATGACATTTTATGATCGAAGACAAACGGTTGGAAATTGTGAACGGAGGGTTAGGGCGTAAGGAATAAGGAGAAAACTGGATCCACACATAATGGAACTTTTCTATGTTCAAG